CCACACTCAGCCCACCTCTTTCGAGACACCCTTTGAGTCAGGCAGAACAGAAACCACTGTAACTGGCCTTTATACATCAGAGGTAATTGCAGGATTTGTTTTCAATTTTTTTTAATGTTGGGGTCACACCTGGTGGCGTTCATATGGAACCCCCTAGTTCTGCACTCAGGGATCACTCCTGGAGGGGCAGGGGTTCCATATGAGGTATTGGGGGTTGAACCTGGGTCTGCTGCATGCAGGACAAGCACCCTCCACACTGTACTTCATTCCAGCCCTAAATTGTAGAATTCAGCATAAAAGGTAAAGGTAAAGGCCCTCCCGTTGATCGTTGATTTGCTCTAGTGGGCCCAGTAACGTCTCCATTGGAGACTTTGTTGTTACTGTGTTTGGCATATCGAATACGTCATGGGGAGCTTGCCAGGCTCTGCCGTGCGGGCGAGATACTCTCGGTAGCTTGCCGGGCTCTCCGAGAGGGGCGGAGGAATCGAACTCGGGTCGGCCATGTTGGCCGCGTGTAAGGCGAACGCCCTACCCGCTGTGCTATCGCTCCAGCCTATGAAAAAAAAATTTTGTGGGGCTGGAGCGATAGCACAGCGGGTAGGGCGTTTGCCTTGCACGCAGCCAACATGGCCGACCCGAGTTCGATTCCTCCGCCCCTCTCGGAGAGCCCGGCAAGCTACCGAGAGTATTCGATATGCCAGACACAGTAACAACAAAGTCTCCAATGGAGACGTTACTGGGCCCGCTCGAGCAATGGTCGGTGTGTTCGTTATATGAGAATTTCCAGGCTGAGCTGGTGGGATAGTACAGTGGGCAAGGTGCTTGCCTTACACGTGATTGGCATTGCTTTAATCTCCAGCACCCCATATGGTTCCCTGAGGCCCACCAGGAGTAATCCCTGAGCACAGAGCCAGGAGTAAGCCCTGAGCACCGCTTGGATGTGGCCAAACAAACTTGATCACTTGATACCCCATTACTCATCGATTTACTCAAGCAGGTCCAGTAACGTCTCCATTCATCCCTGTTGCGTGCTAGTGTAGCCCAATAGCATCTGCTCGTTCTAGGAATATGCAGAGCCTCAAACCGATCATTCAGGGGCCAAACAAGCAAACAAACAAAATTATTAAGAAATCAGAGGTAGACGTAGTGCCAATGAATTAAAAAAAAAAAATGAGGGGCTGGAGCGATAGCACAGTGGGTAGGGCATTTGCCTTGCATGTGGCTGACCTGGGTTCGATTCCCAGCCTCCCATATGGTCCCCCAAGCACTGCCAGGAGTAATTCCTGAGTGCATGAACCAGGAGGAACCCCTGTGCATCGCCGGGTGTGATCCCCCCAAAAAAAACCCAAAACGAGGGGCTGTAGAGATAGCACAGCGGGTAGGGCGTTTGCCTTGCACGCGGTCGACCCGGGTTCGATTCCCAGCATCCCATATGGTCCCCTGAGCACCGCCAGGAGTAACTCCTGAGTGCAGAGCCAAGAGTAACCCCTGTGCATCACCAGGTGTGACCCAAAAAGAAAAAAAAAAAACGAGGCCAAAGAATCAGCCTTTGATTTAAGCGTGAAACTGCTGTCCACCGAGAGATGGTACTTTGTGCAGGGCCTGTTTTTGGAAGACAATGTCACACCTCAGCTGCCACATCTCACCAGCCCAGGACCAACAGCTGCCACTACAGCTGCAGAGATTCAACTTCTCAAATTAAAAATCAATTATTTTTGATGGTTGTTTTGTTTGTTTTTGCTTTTTGTTTTTTTGTGGTTTTGTTTTTTTTTAATTCGAGGGGCCACATCCAGCAGTGCTCACAGGCTCCTTTTGGCTCTGTGCCACGAGATAACATCTGGGCCATAACGACACAATCACACTCAAATGCCAAAGAATCTGAATCATTCTGTTGTTCAAGAACGGTTGCCAGGAGTCAGGGGCACATGCAAAGACGCAGGGCACGATTAGTCAACGGGGAAATGCAGATCCAAAGCTGAGAACTCCCTGCGTGGCCCCCGCAGCAGGTATAAGACAGACACGGGCAGGGGCTGGAGCAATAGCACAGCGGGTAGGGTGTTTGCCTTGCACGCGCCTGACCCGGGTTTGATTCCCAGCATCCCATATGGTCCCCTGAGCACTGCCAGGGGTAATTCTTGAGTGCAGAGCCAGAAGGAACCCCTGTGCCTCTTCAGGTGTGACCACCCCCCCAAAAAAAAAAACAGACACAGGCAATAACCAGCACAGCCAAGAGCAGGGTTCGAGGCGCGAGGGTCCTGCACCACCCCCACCACACCCCCAGTGGGAAAGTGAAACGGGCAGCCTTGGAAAACTTTCTGGGTGTTTCCCCAAAATATTAAAGACAGTCCCCAAGACCCAGTAATTCCATCCCTCCCTCCCCACCCACGAGATTTAAAAATCTCTGTCTAGAAGCCAGGCACCAACTCAGGTGGTAGAACACATGTCTTGTGTGTGAGGTCCTGGATAGACCCCCAGCATGGCCTGGCTGAGGGAGAGAGAGGCTGGCTGCCCCCAAGCAAGGCCGGACCCCCTAGGAGTGCCCCCTTTAAAAGGCAAGGGGGCAGGGGCTGGAGCGATAGCACAGTGGGGAGGGCGTTTGCCTTGCATGCAGTCGACCCGGGTTCGATCCCCAGCATCCTATATGGTCGCCTGAGCACCACCAGGAGTCATTCCTGAGTGCAGAGCTAGGAGTGACCCCTGTGCATCGCCAGGTGTGAGCCAAAAAGTAAAAAAAAAAAAAAAAAAAAAAGGCAAGAGGGGGCTGAGCAACAGCACAGCAGTAACGGGGTGTGCCCAGGTTCAAATCCCGGCACCCCATATGGTCCTGCAAACCTGCCAGTGCTGAGTGCAGAGTCAGGAATAAGCCCTGAGCACAGCTCGATGTGGCCTCCGCCCCCCCCCCCAAAAAAAAACTAAGCAAAAATGTGTTCTTTAGGTATGTGCAGACAGCACTGCTCGTAAGCTGTCGCCAAGCATATGACAGGCCTGAGTTCATTCCGTGGTACCACATGTGGTCCCCAGCATTACCAGGAGTGAGCCCAGAGCATCACCGGATGTCGCCCAATATCAAAAAAAGGAAAGAAACCCATGTCTCCACAAAAACGTGTCTAATGTTCTCCTCGGTGTTATCCTCACAGACCCCCCCGTTCCCCCCGTGGAAACGACCCAGAGGTCTGCTGAGTGAGAAACAGCATGTGACAGAGCCCCACACGCCCGTATTGTTCCCGGGCAGGAGGAATGTGGGGATGTGGGGCTGACGCAGCTGAAACCCAGATGCACCTCCCAAGCTTGGCGCTGACGAGAGAAGCCGGCGGCAGTGACCGAGCTGGAAGCTGTGGATGGGATGCTGGGGATTGAACTCGGGTCAGCCGTGTGCAAGGCAAATGCCCTACCTGCTGTACTATCGCTCCAGCCCCATTGGGGAAAGTCTTTATTTATTTATTTTTTATTTAATTTTTTTGCTTTTTGGTGTCACATCCAGCGATGCACAGGGGTTACTCCTGGCTCTGCACTCAGGAGTCACTCCTGGCGGTGCTCAGGGGACCACATGGGATGCTGGTAATAGAACCCAGGTTGGCCGCACGCAAGGCAAATGCCCTACCCACTATGCTATCTCTCCAGCCCCTGGGGAAAGTCTTCAAACAAAAAGTCTTTAAATAAAATATGACTGAGAGGCAGTGCAGGGATTAGGGCATGAACTTTGCCTCTCACTGACCTGGTTCGAATCCCTGACACCACACGTGGGCTCCTGAGCTCTGCCAGGGTCAAGTCTGAGCACCGAGTCAGGAGTCAGCCCTGAGCACCATTGTGTGATCTATCGCTGCCATTCCATTGCCTCCCAAAAGGAATAAAATAACAAGTCCAGAAGCAGCATAGTTTTTGTTCCCCTTAAAGGAAAACGGACCGACCCAAGGCCTGCAGGACTGAGGGTGTTGCCCGCCCTGTATGGTAAGAAAGAACCCTCAGTTTCCCCTATCAGTGGCTCCCAGAAGCTCCATCTTGGAGGTCTCCATCCCACATTTAAACACTCCCGTGAACTCCTGGGCTCCTTCTAACAATGGGAAGTTGACAATTTCCCAAGATCCTCGATTCTGCCCCAGACTTTAGGATCACGGGAAACTGAAATAATGGGCAGTGCCCAGGCAAGTGGTCAAACAGAGACCCTACAAGGCTCTGAACTAGCCAGAGCATTGTGTAAAGTCCTCGCACTCTCTGGAACATTCTATGTTCTCTGGAACACTTGAGGAATACCACAAAGCCAGTTTTCCTGTAAAGACCCCCACAATGGGGCGGACCTGACCCAGTCCTAAGCTCCTGTCTTCCGCTTCCCAATAAACGCTCCATCTTCTACCAGAGTCTGAGCATCTTTGTCTCTCGGGATTTTCACCCTTGAGAACAATGAATACCTGAGAACCATAGCAGGTCACTGGGACCCCCCCCCCCCAGTCCCTGCTCCTGTCCGACTAGGGGGCTCACACTCTGTGGAAATGCCCCCAACCCCCTCTTGGTGCTTGGTGCCCGAGGCAGGGGTGTTCCCTCGCTTCTTCTCCTTTGCCAGGGCTCAGACCCAGGGGGGCTGGGGGCTGGGAGGTCCAGGGTGGGTTGTTGTCTGGGGTGGGGGGCAGGACTTCGGCTGCCTTCCCTGGGTACTCCCTCTAGGGTGCTCTGTCTCAGAGAGCAGAACGGAGAGGCTCCCATGGGAGCTTCATCTCCCAGACAGGGCAGCTGAGGCTCAGAGAGGTTAAGGAGTTTTCTGGAAGTCTCACAGCACATCAGCAGCCCGGTGAGGAGTCGGGCTCCAGCAAGGTACGGCTGCTGGACAGCAGCCAGGGCAGAGAGGCCGAAGCTTGGGCCCAGGGCTACCCAGGAAAACCCCACCACCACCCCCCGGGATGCCTGGCTGGTCCAGGGCTCTGCCTGTCCCCTTAACACCATCCTCCTGTGACCCGCAACCATCCTCCCCCCACCCCCCCGCCCCAGCCCAGCCTCACACCCCTTACCTGAGTCTGCAACCTGTGTGGTCCTGGGGTGAGCTGCTCCTGGCTCTGCCCAACTGTGCCCGGGTGCCTGGCTGGGCTGGGAAGAGGGGAAGGGAGGGCAGGCCGCACCCCCATGACAGGGAAGGGGCGGGCCTGCGACTCAGCCTGTTGGCATTCCTTCCTGGGGTGCTATCAGGCCCCAGGCCTTCCTGTCTGACTGGACGCCCCCAGAGCTCCCCAGGAAGGCAGATGGGGGGGGCAGGCCCCGCCTCCAGGTCCTGCCAGAGATCAGTGATGTGGGTTTGGGGCCACTGAGTGACACTGTGGGCTGGGAGGAGGGGGGGTGTGTCCAGGGACCTCTCACCATTGCCTGTGGAGAATGCTGAGTCAGCCAGCTGCTGTCTCTGCTCACTCATCAGGCGCTCTGAAGCAGGACATGAAACAAGTCTTGTGCGGGAGTGGCGAGGCCAGAGAGAGACAGGCCATGACAGGCTCTAAGACGGCAGGGAGCTGGCAGTCCCAGGAGGGCTTCCTGGAGGAGGAGTCACAGGGAGACCAGGCTCTGGGGCTCTCTCACCCTCTGCTGCCTCTGATCTGGAGTCCTGCCTTGTGGCTGTATCGGCCAGGGCCCCACAGGGAGACCCTGTGTGCCCAGTTTCTGCTCTGGACCCCTTTTCTGGGCACACGGGGGATCCTACTCAAACCCGAGTCACCTCTCGTTTCTCCTCCTCCTCAGGGTCTACCCGGCGCCCACTCTCTGCCCTTCTCCTTTCTGCTTCCTCCTTTGTGCTGCCCTGGTCACACGGGCCCAGCGCTCCAAACAGGTTCCTTTTATGGCGCATACAGGCTGTTCCCTGGGCCTGGAATGCTTTTCCCGACACAGTTCCTCTCCCACTTCTTCGTGTCACCTCCTCCAGGAGGCCTTCCTTGGCTGTCCTGGATGAGCCAGCACCAGTGCTCCCTTTCCCTCATACTGGGTTCAGCTCAGGCCAGTGTTCTTGGGGTGTATTTGCTTGCTGCCAGCAAACAGTGATGCAGGTTTGGGCAGCTGAGCCAACCTGCAGTCAGGGAGGAGGTGGGGTGTGTGTCCCCCAGCCCCCACCTGCCCTGTGGGTAACGCTGAGTCAGGGCTTATCGAACATGGATCTTGAGGTCTAAGCTGTGTTTCAAGGGCCCTGATGATGCGCCAAGTCCGGAGATCACGAGGAGTTGGGGGAGGGGCGGGAGGGGGGAGGCAGGAGGGGGCTCAGCCCGGAGCACTGAGCCAGGAGGCTGAGAGCTACAGCGAAGGGGTGCCGATAGGAGGTGCAGAAGCAAATGGCTTCAGAGGGGGTGATGGGCCACGCCCAGCAGGGCTCTGGGGTTACTCCCTGCTTTGTGCTTCCGGGTCATTTCCCACGGTGTTCAGGGGTCCCTGTGGGCCGGGCGTGGATCGGGCTCTGCTCTCTGCTGTCTGCCAGACAAGGGCCTTACCCCCGCGCTACCTCTCCAGCCTCTCAATCTATGTTTCAGACCAGTGCGCCTCAGTCAGGGCTGCATGGGCCCTGTGGGTCCCCAGGATACTTCAAGGGGGCCACAGTGGACACAAAAGGGGGCAACTGGTAGAGTAAGGGGAGCCAAGGCAGGAAACTGGGTGGGTGAAGAAGGAAACCACTGCTTCAGGCCAGAACCTGACTAGGGGGGCCGGGAGCTGGGGGCACCCTGCACCCCACCCCCGCGGCATCTGGGAAAATGAACAGGGACAGGGTCGCTGCACAGTCCCAGTCCTGGGAGGTTGTGGCGCCCTTGAAATGCGGCTCATCAGAACTGAGAATGGCGGGGGCCAAAGAGATAGTACAGTGGGTAGGGTTCTCACCTTGCACACGGCTGACCTGGGTTTGATCCCTGGCATCCCATATCGCCCCCTGAGCCCGCCAGGAGGAATCCCTGAATGCAGATCCAGGAGTAAGCCCCGAGCACCGCCAGGTATGGCCCAAAAGCAAAATTGAAAAAAGAGGTAAGATATTTTGACAGAGCAGGCAGTGAGCATTCCGGCCCTAGAGTTATGTAAGGACTTTGGCACTATCATTATCTCATGGAAAGGAAATTGAATTAAGTAGTTATTCTGCACATTTTTTTTGTGTTTTATTTTGTTTGTTTGCTTGCTTTTTGGGTCACACCCGACCACGCTCAGGGGTAACTTCTGGCTCTGCACTCAGGAATTACTCCCGGCAGTGCTTGGTGGACCATATGGGATGCTGGGAATCGAACCCGGGTCCGCCGCGTGCAAGGCAAACGCCCTCCCCGCTGTGCTATCGCTCCAGCCCCTATTCTGCACATTTGGCCCACTGGGGTCGAGGGAGTGACTTGGTGGCAGGGAATTCACTTCGCAGGCATATGGCCCAGGGTTGGATTCCTGGCAATACACACACACACACACACACACACACACACACACACACACACACACACACAGCATCATCTCTGGAACAGCTGCAGCAGCAGTTGTAAACCTTCTAGAAATGCAAATTCTCAGGTCTCATGCCCGCCCTGCTGAACGGAAGCTCTGGCGTGGGGGCGGGGGCGTGGGAGCGTCTTTGCTCCCAGCAGCTGGCCCTGAGCAACGCCCACTCGCAGGCACAGCTGCTTCTGCGCAGACATGCCTCCCGGGCCGATGGGGCAGTGGGTGGCTCTGCGCCACCCGGGTGACCTCATGGTCCTGAGTGTTTGGCGGTGTGTCTGACTCAAGCGACAGGCTCCTCGCTCCTGTGGACACAGCTGACTGCCCCAGGGAGCCAGCTCAGAGCAGGACATAGCGCATCAACTGGCCGCCCGCGTTCCAGAGCTGCCCGCTGGGGCCACGTGACCCAGTGGCCACGAGCACGCAGGAGGCAGCTTGGCTGCTGTGTGCTGGGCTGGTCAGCCTCATGGCCCCTCACTCTGATGCCCTTGGGCTGTGAGAGCTCTCAGGGGTGAAGTGTCTCAAGGGTGAAGTGAAGGCCCCACGGCCTCTGGGGCTGAGAAGCGCGCCCTGAGGGGCTGGGGGAAGGGTCTGACTCTGCACATTTTTACTGGGTCACCAGAGAGATGTCATCATCCACACAGGCCTGTCGTAACCACCTTAAAATACTTGTTAATGGGACCCTTCCCTTCAGGGAGGACTGCTATTATTTCATGGGTAAACTGAGGCTCATCTCTGGGGGAGTAAGATCATTTGCTCCAGGTCATATATCTGATTCAGGATTTGAACTCAGTCCTCCCAGACGTTTGTGTTGTGCTTTGTTTTGTTTGTTTCTGGGCCACGCACCAGCAATGTACAGGGGTTATTTCTGGCTCTACGCTCAGGAATTACTCCTGGCAGTATGCAGGGAACCATCCGGGAGGCCAGGAATTGAACCCAGGACGGTCGAGTGCAAGGTAAATGCCCTCCCTGCTGTACTATTGCTCCAGCCCCAAATCTTCCCAGACTTTGAGGTCAGGACTTCTACCCTCTCCCTGGAAAAAGCTCCACTTGGCCTTATGAGGTCACACAACAAGCCATTAAAACCCAGGTTTGAGGGTGGAAGTGGAGCACGTGGTAGAGCACTTGCCTTGCAGGGGTGAGGCCCTGGGCAGCAAAATAAATAAATAAATAAATAACCCACATTTGAAGTTAGCCACAGGCATAAAATTAGATGCTTGGTGCCTCCATGGTCTTGAGAAACCCGGACTGTTAGCTGGTGGCGTCAGAGCTGGAAATGGACTTCTCCCAACATTAAACATTCCCTCTGGCTCTCAGTTATATCACCTGTAAAATGGGCAGAATGAAGTCTGACCGGCCGAAACTGGACCTGGTGACCCTCTGACCCGCAGATGCCAGTGTCCCAGGCCGCTTTAGGGGGCAGGGACTGATATCAAGTCAAAAGCAGCAAGAAGGAGGCAGAAGGAAAGTTGGCCAGAACCCATCCGGACAGGCACGAGACGAGGGCCCAGATTCAATCAAAGAGATTTTCTGACTTTCCTTCTTTTAGAAGCACAAAGAGTCTTTTGGCAAGACGTGAGGCCATCCAGCAGACCTAGTGGGTTTTCTCTTTAGGCTGATGATGGCCACAGCTACTCAGTCTGTCCTCCCTGGCATTCCCCAGGGACCCCATCGAAAAGCCTAGGGCACCAGGAAACCAGTCAGACATCTGCCAAACCACAGCCACACAGACTGCTCTGGCAAGATCTCTTAGAAGGCAGCAAAAAGCCCAAGAAACAGGTCCTTTGGCTTCTCGAAGGAAACCGCCTGTTTGATCACCTGTTTTGACGCGTTCGACTCTGATCTAATCTGCTTCGTGAGGTGGGAGGTTGGTGGCACGAGTGTCCTGTAAATTCAACGTCGTCATGTGCTGACGAAGCAGCATGACCAGTGACAAGGTGAGTGTCCAGGACTGTTTATCTGGTTGTGTCAGAGTGTCTGTTTGGGGTCACATCTGGTGAGGCCCTGGAGCTGCTCCTGGCTCGGAGGAGCTGAGGATCGAACCCAGGACCTTGCATACACAAGGCAAGTGCTCTAGCCCTGAGTCACACCCAGCTGCACTCAGGGATCCCCACCCCCCCGCCTCCGGGGTGCTCAGGGGACCCGAGGCCATTCCGGGATCAAACCCAGGTTGACCACATAGAAGGCAAAAGCCTTGACCCCTGAACTTTACCTTTCTCTAACCTGGGAGACAGATTTTTGTGGGGTTTTTTTTTTTGCGTGTTTGGTTTTGGTTTTTGGATTTGGGGCCCCACCTGGTAGTGCTCGGGGCTTTCTCCTGGCTCTGCTGTCAGGGGTCCCTCCTGGTGGGCTTGGGGCGACCATATTGGGATCTACAGTCACCTGGGAGAAAAGCGTTAGTGGGAACTCTGTAAAGTTCCTTCACCAATGTCCCCAGTGGCCCCTTCTCAATCCTAACTGCACCCCCACCCACCCACCACCACCACTTGGAAATGCGCACTGGTGAAGGGACGAGGCTCCAGCATTGTGTGATTGAAACCTGTTTGAGTGCTTTCGGTTTCCTCAGTGAATTGCCCCTTTTCCTCCTCCCAGAAAAGCTTACAGTGCTCTTGCAGACACCCCTAATTCCTTGAGTTTATCTTTAACCCTTTGTGTGTGTGTGTGTTTTATCTCTCATTGTCACAATTCTCCCAAATCAGTTTTGGTTACTTGTAAGTCAAAACTTCTGGTGATTCTGGACTTTGTATTTGTAGTGAATTACTTACTTTTTTATTTCCCCTCTAGACTTTTCATATTTACGTGCCGTCCTGTACCTGGAACTCCTTGTTGTGCTGTAAGTGTGCTAGCAGCTCTGTGTTGAAGGAGCCATTTTCCCCATCAGTCTCTGATCCCGGCCCTTTGTGCCTCTGCTGGGGAGGACTGGGAAGGCGGTTCTCAGCCCCCACCGTTTGAACCCACAGAAACCCAATCATGAACAACTTTGTGACTGTATCTCTTTGTGATCCTTCAGACCCATGGCAGCCAGTCTCTGGGGGAACCCTGGCCCATCTGGGACTCAGAAGGGGCTGTGGTGTATATGTATATGATATATATGTATACATGTGTATATATACATATACAAATATGTATGTATGTATACACCTATGTATACATGTATGTATGTATGTATACATATATATGTGCACGCAGCCAACATGGCCGACTCAAATTTGATTTCTCCGCCCCTCTCGGAAAGCCTGGCAAGCTACCGAGAGTATCTCGCCCACACAGCAGAGCCTGGCAAGCTACCCGTGACGTATTCAATATGCCAAACACAGTAACAACAAAGTCTCACGGTGGAGACGTTACTGGGCCCGCTCGAGCAAATCGATGAACAACGGGAAGATAGTGTGATAGTGTGATATACATATATATCATATATGTATATATATGTATATATTGCTTTTTGGGTCACACCCGGCAATGCACAGGGGTTGCTCCTCTCTCTGCACTCAGGAATTACTCCTGGCGTTGCTCAGGGGACCACGTGGGATGCTGGGGATTGAACCCGGGTTGGCTGTGTGCAAGGCAAAAGCCGTCCCCGCTGTGCTATCGCTCCAGCCCCAGGCCCTCTTAATATTGCTTGGATCCACGGCAAATGACAGCTGGGAGCAGGAGATGGCGATGTGGTTAAGGCGTTTGCCTTGCTGGGTGTGACTCCAATTCCATCCTGACACCTCAAGGTCGCTGTCTACTGCTGGGGGGCCGCCCCTAAGCACAGAGCCAGGAGCAGCCCCTGAGTCCCGCTGGGTGTGACCCCCCAAAAGACAGCTTGTCTCTCTGCCACCTGAACCTAGTAAATGTTTCTTCTGGACATACTCCAGGGACCACGGGCACTGCTGGGGTGGCTCTTGGTGGTCCCCACACCGCAGGGCACAGGCAGCACCACATTCTCGGGTTCCAACACTGAGCCACTGGCCCAGGAGTGGCCCCTGAGCCCCACTTTGGAAACTTCGCCCCGCCCAATAAAATACTCCAGGGAATAATCAACCTTTCTTATTTTAATTTTTGAGGGCCCTACCCAGCAATGCTCAGGGATTACTCCTGTCTCTGTGCTCAGGGATGACTCCTGGTGGTGCTCAGGCGACCAATAGGGATGCTGGGGGATCGAACCCAGGTCAGCCGTGTCCCAGGCAAAAACTCTCCCTCCTCTGGCCCCCTACCTTCCTCATTTTATTGTTCACAACACTTCCCTTCTGGCAACTGTTGCGGGAATGCGAGGAAGTGATGGGGGCGTGTCACCCCCCCACCCCACGGTGTCACCAGGGTGCCAAATAGAACCACCTGAATTGCTCCAGGTGTGGGGGTGCAGCCTGGGACTAAACTCAAGCCCTCGGGCCTGGGAAGCGGGGGCAGGCTGAGCGCCCCACCCCTGCGGTTCCCACCTCTCTCCTGCGGGTGCTGGGGGTCAGCCCCCTCCTCCCCACACGAACCTAACCTGCCTCCTTGTCTCCCAAGAAGGTCACTCTGGCTTAGTTCAAGGTCCAAACATCTTTCTGGAGCCCAGGAACAAGTGGTCGACTCGTCCACGCCGGGAAGCTGGGGACTGGGGGTGGCCAGGAGTTGTGCGTGGCTCCAGCTGTGTGACCTTCACCAAGGGCTGGGCCTCTCCGGGCCACTGCTGCCGCCGTGCAGGCGGGTCAAGCGGAGAAGTCAGAGGAGAGCCGGCGAGGCGCCAGGGTGGCCGCCCCGCGCAGCGGTCAGCGCAGGCCGCCGCGTGGCTGACCGCCCCGCAGCTCCCTCCCCGGGGCTGGGTCCGGGTGGTCGCCCCAGGTCCCTGCAGTGGAGTCGGGGCGAGGGTGAGCGCCGCATCCCCGGGTGTGCCAGCCGAGCCCGGGCCGGCGCTGCCCAGCCCCCGCGGGGCGGGGCGGGGCGGCTATTTCGGGCCCCGGAGCGCGGACGGGCCCCGCGCCACTTGCCGCGGGCAGCACCATGAGCACCGCCGCCTTCCACATCTCCGGCCTCCTGGAGAAGATGAGCTCCAGCGACAAAGACTTCAGGTGCGCCGCCCCGCCCCGGGGTCCCCGGCGGGCCCCGCCTCCGCCCCCCTGCGCGCCTCCTCCCCGCCCCCCTGGGAGCCCCCTCCCCGCCCACCTCCACCTGTCCCGGGCGCCGAAGCCACGCCCCTTCCAGGCGCGACCCGCCCCCCCCCCCCCCCCCCGCTCCCGAGGCCTCACGGTGGGGGGCGCTGGGGTGAGGGCGTGGGGGGCAGCTGCCCCTGGTCCCTTGCCAGGTGCGTGCGACGGTTGCGGTGGGGTGTCTAGATTAGCGGGGTTCTCCCGCTTGGCATCCCCAAACTCTTCCCCTGGACTCCCTCGCAGGCCCCCTGGGCACTCCCGCCAGGGCTGACTCTGGCTCTGTGCTCGGGGATCACCCCTGGTGGCGCTCAGGGGGCTGTATGGGGTACCGGGGATTGAACCTGGGTTCATCTGCGTGAGAGGCATGCTCTCTGACCCCACCTCCTGAATAGACCTGTTTAGTTTGGGTTTTTTTTTGGGGGGGGGAGGGGTTCACAGTCAGCAATGCTCAGGACTTACTCCAAGGGCAAGGTGAGTCTGGAACCGGTTCTTGGGGGTCCAATCAGGATGACCCACACAGGCAGTGCCCTTGGCCAGGCAGTCTGCACTCAGGGATCATTCCTGGTGGTCCTGGGGGACCATATGGGGTGCCGGGGATTGAACCTGGATAGACTGCAAGGCAAGTGGTCTGAAAAGAAGGAAGGAAATTTCTGCTCCAACACCCTGTATTCATGGGGAAACTGAGGCCCAGGGAGGAAAAGGATTGGCCTCCAGTTCAGGCCCCTCTGAGCAGACAGGGGAGCCGAGAGACCAGCATACATTCACTTAGCCCCATTCTCTGAGATCCCCCCACCTTTGTGAGTGGGAGAATGGGGTACAGAGACCCCGAGGCTAGGTGAGTCTGGAGCTGGTCCTGGGGCGTCCAGCCAGGGTGGACTACACAGGCTGCCTTCCTCCTGCTGCACCCCCACTGTCCTGAGCACCAGGCCTCAGCACCAGGCATCCCCGAATGGGGGTCAGCTGTGGGGGGCTGGACCCCTGGGGTATACAGTGACAACCTCAGAGGCAACTGGGGTGTGTTTTCTGTTTGCTTCAACAAACCCAATTTCCAGGGCACACAGTGATGTTGTTCCCGAAGAGGGGGTGGCAGTTCTCACCCATTTGGGACCCTAATGTTGGCAGCCCCCCTCAGAGCTCCCCCTTAGAAAAGTGGGGTGACAGCAGGTTCTGAGGGCGGGCGAGAGGCAGAGTGGCAGCTGCTGCCACGTGAGGCAACAACATGCAGATTTGGTTGGTTGTTCGGTTGGTTTTGGTTTGGGGGCCACACTGGGCATCCCTCAGGGCTTACTCCTGACTGCGCTTGGGAATCACTCCTGGTGGTGCCCGGGGGGGACCATCTGGGGTGCTGGGGATCAAACCCAGGTGGGCTGTGTGCAGGGCAAACACCCTCCCCGCTGTCCTATCGCTCCGGCCCGACATTGTCCAGTTTCGCCTGTCACATGCACCCTGCACCCCGAGTTTACTAGCCAGTTGCCCGCCTTCCACTCCACGGCCTCTCCCTCTGGCTTGCTGTTATTCAGATGTCACCTGGGCCCCCCTCCCCAGCGGAAGTGATTCCACTTTAGTCTTGGGGGACCCTAGAGGATCGGGTCTGTAAGCCTCCTTTTCCCACCCAGAATCCAGCCGGTACCCACACGGGTATGTTCTCATGCCCAGACCCAGCTCCCGGCTGGGTCTCCAGTGCCCTCTCGGCTGGGCCTCTCCTGCGAGAGGTTACGCTCGCCTTCCCGGGCATGGAGAGGTGGGTGACTTGTTCAAGGTCACACAGACTAGTACCCGCCACACACACTGGTCCCGGTCCCGGGAAGGTGCAAGCAGAGCCAGCCCCGCCAGTGGCCCTGAGGGCCCGGAAGTCACCTCCCCACCCACCCAGGCCAGTGGCTATTTTTAAAGTCCCAAGACCAGGAGAGCTGAGTCCGGCTGCCCAGCTGTCCAGGCGCCCCAGTGCCCAGGGCCTCAGCTGAGGTGCCTCTAGGGTTTCTCTGGAAAGAAGCAGAAGCTGTTGTCTTCTGGCTCCTGAAAGCAGACGTTCCCGAAGCAAGCAGAAGACTTAATTTTTATTATCATTATCATCGTCATTATTATTATTATTATTATTATTTTTCGGGTCACACTAGTGCTCAGGGCTTACTCCTGGTTCTGTGCTCCCACTCCTGGCTGGGCTCGGGGGACCCTATGGGGTGCTGGGGATCGAACCTGGGTCAGCTGTGTGCAAAAGGCAAATGCCCTTCCTGCTGTACGATGGCTCCGCCGCCCTCAATGCTCAGACTCTTATCTACTCAATCATATCCCTCACTGCCACCCAAACCTGGCGCGACCCACTTGCTCTCTCTGAGCCGACTGTGTGAGGGAACGGGGCTCGGGGCTGCTGAGACTGCCTCAGAAGGGTTCGCTTCTGTAGGGGGCGTGTGGTGCTCAGCCCTGCTGGGTTTTGCTCCCCCTCCCTCCCTCCCTTCCTGCCCGTGCTGTGTTCCCCCTGCCCTGCCAGGCTCCTCTGAGTCCAATTAAACAGTCAAGCTTGGGGTGCGATGTGAGAGGGCTGTAATAGTGGGGTGTGCACTGAGGGCATCCCCCAGCCCAGGGAACCAGGTGTGCTGAGAAAACCATGTGGGTGAGGAGAAGGCCGAGTCAGCTGAGCTCTTGGTGGATGAACAGGAGTTTAACGGGAGTTTTTGGGTTTTTTTTTTTTCTTTTTGGGGGTCACACCCAGTGATGCACAGGGTTACTCCTGGATCTGCACTCAGGAATTACTCCTGGCAGTGCTCGGGGGACCATATGGGATGCTGGGACTCGAACCCGGGTTGGCCGCGTGCAAGGCAAACGCCCTACCCACTGTGCTATCGCTCCAGTCCCTTTAACGGGAGTTTTACAGGTAAAAAAGAAAGACGGAAGGACCCTCTAGGGCAAAGCAAAGCAACACCGCCCCTGGGACACCAGCCAGAGCTGGGTCTCCAGAAATGTCAACAGAAACATGCCTGGAGGTCCCCTGCCTGCTTGTGAGTCCCCCTCCCTGGACCACCCAGGAATGCATGTGCCCACCCCAAGCCGACTCTTGGCCGACTCAGATCCAAACCTTACCTGTTTTTTTTGTTTGTTTTGTTTTCGCTTTGGGGGCCACACCTGGCGGTGCTCAGGGACGATGCACGGAAGCACAGGGAGTGAGTGGAACAGGGGTGGACCCAGGCCAAGCGTGCACCCCAGCCCCAGGAGCCACCCTAGCCCACCCCAGCCCACCATGCATGTGGGCTGCAGGCCCAAGGCGAGCTGTGCCAGGCCCGCCGCCACCCTCGGCTAATCCCTGCTGTTAAAAATAAACAGCTCTGACTTCTGCAAGTGCCCGCCTGGTACCAGGGTGCCAAGGGGTGCCATGACAGGGTGTGGCAGGTCAGAACATGCAGAGGCTGGCATCCGAGCCGTGCCTGGTTTTGCCAGGGGAGGCCTGGGGGCAGGGCTGTAGGCTGATGTGCTCACACAGGGCAGATGAGCAAGTTGTCTCCACGGATTCGTTTAAACTTAATAATTCGTTTGAATATCTGCTTCTAAAAATCAGCCTAGGGGCCGAAGTGATAACACTGCCTTGCATGAGGTTGACTCAGTTTCGATCCCGAGCACCCTATTGTTCTGTGAGTACCACCAAGAGTGATCCCTGAGTACAGAACCAGGAGCATCCCCTGAGCACTGCTGGGTGTGACCAAAAAACAAAAAAATCAAAATGAAATCAAAATCAACCCAGATGGGGGCCAGAGCGATAGTATAGAAGGTAAGGCATTTGTCTTGCGCGCGGCCAACCTGGGTTTGATCCCCAGCATCCTACATGGTCCCCTGAGCACTGCCAGGACTAATTTCTATATGCAGAGCCAGAAGTAACTCCTGAGTATCACTGGGTGTGACCCAAAAAGCCAAAAAAAAAAAAAAAAAGGTAAAAAGAATAAGAAAAAGAAAGAGAAAGAAAATTAATCCAGAAGTCACTTCTTTCTCCCTGCAACCCAATTTTCCAAACGTCAATAAGTCATTGGCAGGCTGAGACATAGCACAAAACAGGGGTTCAGCGTTTGCGCGGCTGATTCCAGTTCGATCCCTGGCACCCCTTTGGTTACCTGAGCACTTCCGGGAGCAACTCCCAAGCACCATCAAATGTGTCCCCCAAACAAACAAAAGTCCATTCAGATTTTGAAAACTGCTTGCAGGAGGGCCCAGACTGGTTTACAGTGCAGCTCTGAACTGGGAACCGGGACACTGCTCCCGGGCCTCTCCCCACTGCAATCCAGCTTCCGGCCCTCCTGCTGGCACAGGGCCTGGGTGGGAGGGCTGGACTCCGATGCCCACCTCGGGTCAGGGAGCCATGATCAGGGACTTGTCACTCTGGACAGCAGAGTCCAGCCTGGCCCGAGGACAGAGCTTCTCAGCTTCTCAGGTGCAACCCCAGCCAGGAACTTAGAAACGCAGATTCAGGAGCCAGAGAGGTCATACGGCAGGGAGGGTACTTGCCTTGTACACGGTCCAACTGGGTTTGTCATGTCATCCCCATATGGTCTCTGAGCCCACTAGGAGTGATTTCTGAGCAGAAAGCCAGGAGTAACCCCTGAGCACTGCTGGGTGTGACCCAAAAAACAAAATTTTAAAAAATGTGAATTCAGGGTCTAGAGCAATTAGACAGTGGGTAGGGCATTGCCTTGCACACGGCCGACCCGGGTTCAATTCCCAGCATCCATATGGTCCCCTGTCATCCCAAAGTGTCCTGCCTGCTGTACTATCTCTCCTGCCCCATGAATTCACATTTTTTTCCTATTTTTTTTCCCTTTGGGTCGCACCTGGTGATGCTCAGGGATTACTCCTGGCTCTGCACTCAGGAATTACCCCTGGCAGTGCTCAGGGGATCCTATGGGATGCTGGGAATCAAACCCAGGTTGGCCTTGTGCAAGGCAAACGCCCTCCCCACTGTGCTATTGCTCCAGCCTGAGGCTGAGACTCTTATCTCAGTTTTTCCAGAGCTCAGAGATGGTCAGTGTCATGACCAGGGTCACCGTGGCCTAGCTGGGAGTGCCTGGAACCACGTTCTCTGCAACTCTGTGCATTTGTGGCCCCTGAGGGTCAGAAGCAGTGAGGGGGAATCTCTGTAGCAACCTCTGTCGTGAGGGCTACTCTGAGAGCCCCCCCCAGAAGCCACTCGTGTCCTCCTGTGCCCCTCATCCAGGTTCATGGCCACCAGCGATCTGATGTCGGAGCTGCAGAAGGACTCCATCCAGCTGGACGAGGACAGTGAGCGCAAGGTGGTGACCATGCTGCTGCGGCTTCTGGAGGACAAGAGCGGGGAGGTGCAGAACCTGGCCGTCAAGTGGTGCGCGCTGGAGCGGGGCGTGGGGCGCAGCGGGGGGGCCCCCTGGCGGGCTCCGCCTTACTTTGTTGTTGGCTTCTTGGGTCACAGCAATGCTCAGGGCTGACTCCTGGTGGTGCTCTGGGCGAGGATAGGGGATGCCAGGGATCGAACCTGGGTCGCCCATGTGTGAGGCAAACGCTCTCCCGCTGTGCTATTGCTCCAGCCCCTTCGCAGGCTCTATCTTTAAGGGAAGGATTGTGAGCAGATCTGGGAGGGCCCAGGGGACACAGACAGTGTCCCAGCACGGAGACCCTGAGAACAGGATTCCAGGCTGAGGCCACACCTGGCAGTGCTCAGAAATGACTCCTGGCTCTGCGTTCAGGGATCACTCCTGGTGGTCTCCGGAGGGATATAGAAAACTGGGGGGTTGAACACAGGTCGACCACGGGCAAGGCCGGCACCCTCCCCGCTGTCTCTGCAGTCCTCCATCAGTCATTTTTAAACTCCCACATACAGTCAAATCATGGGGACGCTTGGCTCAAAGGCAGGTTCTGGCTCCAGACCCAGGGGAGGACCTGGGAGTCTGCGCGTTTGACAAGTTCCAGATGATGCTGGCGCTGCTGACCCTGAGCTCCGAGAAGCAAGACCCCTCAAGAGTCGCCATGGGTGGTGCCTGGACCCCCAGAATCAGCATCTCCTGGGCTCCGGCTGGAAAGATGCATCCTTGGGCCCTCACCTTGGCCTGAGTCTGAACATCAGGCCGGAGCCTGCGAGTCTTATTCTTACGAGTCCTCCGTGCCTTTTGATACGTGCCTAGGGCTGGGTGCTCCTGCCCAGTGTCCAGTTTCCGGCAGAGGCTGCTGGCTCTGGGGGTCTCACTCTGTTTTGAGATGCCAAACCCGGGGGAGCAGCAGGGTCGGGAGGGGTGAGGAATAATGTTGGCAGAGGAGATGGCCACTCTCCATCTCAGAGTCCCCCCCCCCCCGATTGATGGGGTGGGGGAGGGGATGCCTTTTCCTGAGCCCCTGAGTCCCCAGGAGCCTGAGGGCATTGCAGGGACCGCCTCATTCCCCCTCCCTCCCTGTCTGACCCTCAGCCTGGGCCCTCTGGTGGGCAAAGTGAAGGAGTACCAGGTGGAGACCATCGTGGACGCCCTCTGTACCAACATGCGCTCCGACAAGGAGCAGCTCCGGGACATTGCTGGCATCGGCCTCAAGACGGTCCTCTCGGAGCTCCCACCGGCTGCCACAGGTACCCCAGGGACGAAGCACCTCCTGGCTCACTCTGAGTTTCCCGCACGGAGGTGTCTGAGAGCCTCTCAGGTCGCCTGGGCAGTGGCAGAGAATGCGGACCCTGAGCTACTTAAGCACCAGGGTTCGGGTGCAGGGGAGTTTCTAGCTGCGAGGATCCAGCCTTCAGGGCAGCACACACACACACACACACACACACACACACACGTATGCAGCCTTTTATTTAGCAGAACAATTAGGGCAGGGGTGGAGTCTTCTGTGGCCCACAGAGAACACTGACGGATGCAAATGCTTGATTCTCCCCCACTGAGGTGACAGGCTTACCCCGAGATTGGCCTCGTCGTGTTCTCGGCCCCTCAACCTGCCTCCCTGGACGCCGGCTCGGGCCTTTGACCCCCAGAGCCCTGGTTTCCGTGGCGCAGCAGGTCTGGGGGGCTGTGGGCTCAGGACCACAGAGAGAGCCAAGACCCATGAGCGTGGTGGCCCGGCCTGGCCTCACGGTGCCCCTCGTGCCCTGCGCAGGCTCGGGCCTGGCCGCCACTGTGTGCCGGAAGATCACGGGTCAGCTCACCAGTGCCATCGCCCAGCAGGAGGACGTGGCCGCGCAGCTGGAGGCCCTGGACATCCTCTCTGACATGCTGAGCAGGTGCGGGGGCCGGTACGGGATAGGGGTACAAAGTGCTCAGGGCTCCTGCACGACCCCAGAAGCCCCCTGAAGGACTTGTGTGTCTCAGAGATCCCAGCTCTGAGAGGGGCTGTGCTCAAGGCCATGACGTTATAGGATTGAGCTTGAGCTGGCTCTCATATCGCTCAGAGCCGGAAGCCACCTGCATTCACCCTCTCCCTCCCTCAACCCCTTCCTTTTCGCCTTCCATTTTTTTTTTCTTTGGAAGGAACCCCTGGCAATGCTCAGGAGTTACTCCTGGCTCTACACTCAGGAATTCTCCTGAGGGTGCTCAGGGGACCATATGGGATGCTGGGGATTGAACCCAGTCGGTTGCATGCAAGGCAAGCACCCTCCCCACTGTACTATCTCTCCAGACCTTCTCCTTCCTTCCTCCTGGGCTAATACAGCCAAGCTTTTTTTTTTTTTTTGGTCACACCCAGCAATGCTCAGGGGTTACTCCTGGCTCATGCACTCAGGAATCACTCCTGGCGGTGCTCGGGGGACCATATGGGATGCTGGGAATTGAACCTGTATCGGCAATCTTGGCTGCATGCAAGGCAAACGCCCTACCCGCTGTGCTGTCGCTCCAGCCCCGCAGCCAAGCTTTTTAAGTTGCTGCAGTTTAAAGTCACTGGGTCTCCTGTGGTTCGGGCACCTTTTCTGGGGCTAGAGGCCCGTTAGGGGCCAGGCTAGTGCTGGAAAAATGGAGTTGGCTGTGTTTGTGCACTCTGAGGAGGCGCCCACAGACACATCAAGCCTCATGAAGTAAGATCCGCAGGGCCCAAAGGAGCTCAGAGGAGGAGCCCTGGTCCAGCCAACAGGTAGAGAACCTTCTAGAGAGGGTCGTGCTGGAGCTGAGCCTCCAGCAATGGCCTGGGGATGTGTGTACAGCACGGGCCTCACATGTGTAAGGCCCTGGGCACGATCTCGATGGACAGGACGTGGCCAGGCAGACCTACAGGGGAAACTGGACAGGGACCTGGCATAGCCCTGGCTCAGAGAGCAGAGGATGGAGATGAGGTCTGGAGCAGTGGTGGGGTGTGGGTGGAATGCGGAGAAAGGTGAGACCCAGGAGCTAGGGAGGAGGCAGAGGGTGGGCACGGGGGGTGGGCGATGTTAGTGAGGACCCCACAACAGGAGGTTTGCAGGGGGCGAGAAGTGCCCATCATGTTTGTGTGTTTTCACTCTGCAGCATCAGGGAGAGCTGGACAATGTGCATGGTGCAGGGGGCGTGGTCGTGTCCCTGCTGCAGCCCAGGGATGTTTAGGCAGGATACAAGAGGAACAAGAGTAGAATGGCACCCAGGGGTCCCTGATACCACCCTTTGGCAGAGGCAACTTAGGGAGCATGAACTGGGGTGCAGGAGGGAGACCCAGGATTCAGTTTGGGGGTGCTGGTTGGGCAGGAGTTTCTAGCACTGGCAGGGCCAGGGAGCCAGTGAACAAATGCCTGAAGCCCTGGAGGGGTCTAGGCCGGACAGGGCGACAGGGAGTGTGAGGATGCTGAGTTCATGTGCAGTGAGAGGAGAGGAAGTCTAAGGAGGCCAGAAGGTGCTTTGTGGGTAGAGCTCATGCCTGTGAGTGTGGGTCTTGGGTACTGCAAACAGTGTTGCGATCCCCAACACTGTTCAAAAATAAATAAGGGGTGGCATGGTAGGAAGCTTGCTACAAAACGGGTGGGGAGCACAGTTAGAACAGAGAAGGGACCACTATGACAATGACAGTGGAAAACGATCCCTCTGGACAAGGACCCAGTGAAAAGGAGGTAAAGTGCTATGCATCCGACCTTTCAGTAACAGGATTGCAAACCACAGTGCTTAAAAGGGAAATGAGAGAGAGGGAGGTGGGGGGCTAGGATGTGGCCGCCTGAGTTCCAGACCCAGCATGGGAAGAAACAACAAAACAACCTCCCTCCCGGGCGCTGGCGTTGCTGAGACCCTGAGAAGCGATCGGTCCGCGCCCTGGCAGCGAGCCGCCGCATTCCACGAGGGCCTGGCGCCTTCGGGTTGACAGTTTCCCGGAGGAGGCCAGGAGGGGCACGGGAGCGGGAAGCGCCCGTCCAGGCTGGCACGCCCCGACACCCACCCTGGGTCCGCAGGCTGGGCGCCCCGTTGGGCGCCTTCCACGCCAGCCTCCTGCACTGCCTGCTGCCGCAGCTGAGCAGCCCGCGCCTGGCCGTGCGCAAGCGCGCCGTGGGGGCGCTCGGCCACCTGTCGGCCGCCTGCAGCACTGACCTCTTCGTGGAGCTCGCCGATCACCTGCTGGACAGGCTGCCCGGCCCGCAAGCGCCCGCCAGCCCCGCAACCATCCGCACCCTGATCCAGTGCCTGGGCGGGGTCGGCCGCCAGGCGGGTCACCGCCTCGGTAAGGGGCGTGGCCCTGGTGGGCGTGGTCTTGGTGGGCGGGGATTGGGGCGTGGCTCTAAAGGTTGCGTTACCCGGGGCGTGGGCGTGGTGGGCGTGGCCTGACAGCATGCGTAGACCAGAGCGAAGACTGAGTGGGAGTGGCCTTGTGGGCGGGCTCTTGGTGGGCGTGTCATGGGCCGGACGTGGAGGGTGGGCGGGGTTTGAGAGGCTGTCGCAGACCATCTTCTCCAAGGTCCTCTGTGCCTTATCTACCTACCTCAGCCTTGAGAGTAATTATAAACCTGCCACCAAACTGAAATAAGATTTGGGCTATTCCCCTTTAACGAATACACCTAAATAATAGCAGCCAGGTTTAATAAAAGCACAGTTTGTATTCGGAAATAGTGCATGTGCCACCCCTGTTTTGGCAGTGTCTAGGGGCTGTTGGTTGGGTGGGGAAGCATGGGATGCCGGAAATTGAACTCAAGCCTTACTGCATGCAAAACATATATTCCAGCTGGAGGAACCCTCTATTTTTTTTAAGTCTGGGTTTGGGGGCTATACTCTGCAGTGTTCTGGGGTGATTCCAAGCAGTGCTCTCTCCCTGGTCCCTCTCTTCCATTGTTTGATGGATATAATTCGGGGGCAGAGAGATGCTCAGTGGACTGGGTACATGCTTTGCATGCAGGAGCACTGGGTTTGATCTCCAGGACTGCAGAGCCCACCTCAGCACCCGAAATATTGATCCCCCAACAAAGAGCCAACATAGATCCTGAGCACTGACGGGTATGGCCCCAACCTCCCCCTCACAAAAGTAAAGATGTGATTCCGTAATTTTGAATTTGCATATTCCCTTAGTAGGTAGTACTACCACCCCAATAAAGAACATTTCTGGGGCTGGGGTGATAGCATAGCGGGTAGAGCATTTGCCTTGCACACAGCCAACCCAGGTTCAATTCCCAGCATTCCATATTTCTGAGCACCGCCAGGAGTGATTCCTGAGTGCAGAGCCAGGAGTAACCCCTGAGCATCGCCAGGTGTGACCCGAAAAGGAAAAATAAACATTTCCATCACCCCAGAAGTTTTCTAATACCTTTGATCCATCCCTCCCTATGTTTTACCCAAACACTCCCTGATCTACATTCTACCAGCACAGGCGAGTAGTATAGAAATGGAATCTTGCAACCCGGCTTGAGTGTATTTTCTGTGCTGTGTATTTTCTGGAGTTCTGTGCTAGAACACACAGTGTGGACAGTGTTGGCCATTCTGCCTGCGCCTCACTGCAGGGAGCCTTGCAAACACACATGGGAATCCCACCCCTGCTGTATACTCTCCCCTTGTCTGCCCCAGACAGCAGGCAGCCTGATCTTCTCAGGATTGTGGTGCCGGGAAGAGGCCTGCCCAGAGCAGACAGAACTGAGGGTGGCTTGGGCAGAAAGTGGGGGAAGTGGGCTGGAGCGACAATACACTTGCCTTGCATGTGGCCAACCTGGGGTTGATCCCCAGCACCCTATAGGGTCTCCTGAGCCCCATTAGGAACAGTCCCAAACACAGAGCCAGGAGTAAACCCTGAGCACGCCAGGTATGGCCCAAAAACCAAATTAAAAAGGACAAGAAAAGAAAGTGGAGAAGTTATTGGCTGGGGAGGGGCTAGAGCAGGGTCCTCTGGCCATGAAGGGGCCTTTCCACCTGGCAACTCCCACCTCAGACTCCCCCCTCCTTCCCCACCCAGTGCAGGAAATGAGACAAGGGAGAGGAGAGAAACGGTTTCACCCCTGCAGGTTACTCACCATGTGTGTCCAGGCCAGAGCTTGGACAGCACTCTATCTGCATCCTGACTTTAATCGTCACCAAACTGTCACCTGATCAGTAAGACTACCCCTGTGGTTAGGATGAGCAGACCAAGATCAGAAACCAGCAGATGTGTCCACGGTGGCCCAGCTCACAGGAACAGAGGCAGGAGCTTACTAAGGGGGCAGGGGCAGAGATGTGGGGCAGACGGGTTGCGAGCCGGGTGCTGGCTGGCTCAGTGACACACTAGCCCTGTAGGGACCCACCTGGACCGCCTGGTGCCGCTGGTGTTGGAGTTCTGCCACCTGGATGACGATGAGCTCCGGGAATCCTGCCTTCAGGCCCTTGAGGCCTTCTTGAGGAAGTAGGTGCTGGAGTGGGGTGGGAGGGTACCAGAAGATAGGGGACCCAGGGTTCCTCTTGGAAACGGGGGATAGGGATGGGGAGGCAGGCTTCAAAGCAGGACGATGGCAGGACTCACCCCTGCCCCCCGCTTGTGCACAGATGCCCCAAAGAGATGGGCTCCCACGTTCCCAGCGTGACCAGCCTCTGCCTGCAGTACCTGAAGCATGACCCCAACTACAACTACGATAGCGACGGGGACGAGGAGCAGATGGAGACGGAGGAGAGTGAACTCAGCGAGCAAGGTGTGTGGCCAGCCGCCAGCGGGGCAAGAGGTTGTGTGTGGGCTGAATTGTGGGACCTTCTCTGGTGCCCCCATTTTGACGCTGCCCCTTCCCTGGGCTCCGCTCCTGCCCTCTGTGGGGCCAGATGGCAGCAACTAACCATAGTAATCCCGTCCTGTTTCGGCATCCTAAGATTGTGTGTTCCTGCCAGTGACCTTCAGTCAGTCTTTATTACTCACCCCCATATTTCCAGCAGGGAAACTGGGCCGGAGCAATAGTTGCGTGCTTGCCTTATACATGACTGACCAGGGTTCGATCCCCGGTGTTTCATTTGATCTCCTGTGCTCTGCCAGAAATGACCCTCGAGTGTAGAGCCAGGAGTAAGCCCTGACTATGGTTGGGTGTGGCCCCAAAACCCAACAAGGAAAGAGAAACCTGAGACTTAGAAGTTTTGGGTCCCTGGATAACTTAAGCAGAAAGTGGGGTGGAGGGACCTGCCCTGCAGTCTGGCTGACTCCTCTGCCGCCTCTCTGCCGCCCCCACTGGGCCTGTGGCAGAACAGCACCCAGGAGACAGCGAGGAGGACGCCAGCTGGGAAACACCAGGATAGAGGAACTCGGGCTCCTTCCTCTGTGCCTGGGGTCCTGCTTGTCACTCTGGGTGCACTGGAGGCAGGGCACTGGGCAGCGAGGGTCTCAGGAACATGAGTAGGCTGAGTGTTTCCGTGCCAGCGGCAGGCACCCTGACTGTCACGCTGAGCTCCCAGAGGGTGGAAGTACCCAGCCCCTGAGCCCAGGGGTGGCCCTGGTTTCAACTGACCCCCTCTGAGCCTCAGCTCTGCCTTGCCCTGAGGTTGCGGTGGTTTTGCAGAATCTCAGCTGTGCTGTTTTGGAGCTGCGTGCCCTTCGAGAAGTCGTCTCCCTCTCTGAGCCTTACTGGGCTTACGACGCTGCTCCCCTGAGCTGTGGGGAGACTCAGTGAACCTGGGGTTGGGGTGCTTGGGGAGTGGAAGCCCCACCTACACCGGCTCTTCCTTATCAGGAGTCCTGCCTGGGAGCTGAAATGCTGGAATGGGGGGAAGGGAAGAGGGGGTGCATCTGTGCTCCCTCCTGGAACCCCAGTGAGTGAAAAGTCCTGAAGCCAGAGGGGGGGGGTCTGAGGCCAAATAGGTTCCCTGAGCCCTCCCAGAACCCTGGGGAGCCACTCTTGTTTTTGTTTTGTTTCCTTTTTTTTTTCTTTTTCCTTTTCGTCACACCCGGCGATGCACAGGGGTTCCTCCTGGCTCATGCATTCAGGAATTACTCCTGACTGTGCTTGGGGGACCATATGGGATGCTGGGAATCGAACCCGGTTTGGCAGCTTGCAAGGCAAACGCCCTACCCGCTGTGCTATCGCCCCAGCCCCCCATGGGGACCCACTCTTTGGGGATTAGGGGTCTAGACACAGAGGCGGACCCGGCCAGTTTCCGGTCCGAGACCCCACGCTGCAATTGGAGAAGCGACCCTTGGGTGCAGGCCTCGACAAGGCGTGCACGAGGTGGTCCAGGCGCGCACTAGGTGTTCCTTGAGCGGTGCATGGCCCGGGAGAGGAGCCCCGGGGGTGGGGTGGGGGGACCCGCGCGGGCAGGGAGGGGAGGGGGCTGCCCCGGCCGAGCCCCCGGACGCCTGTTCGGCCGCAGAGAGCGACGACGAGTACAGCGACGACGAGGACATGAGCTGGAAGGTGCGGCGGGCGGCGGCCAAGTGCCTGGCGGCGCTGGTGGCCGCGCGGCCCGACCTGCTGGCCGACTTCCACGGCTCGCTGGCGCCCGCGCTCATCCGCCGCTTCTCGGAGCGCGAGGACAACGTCCGGGCCGACGTGCTGGGCGCCTACATCGCGCTGCTGCGCCAGTCGCGGCCCCGCAAGGGCTGGCTGGAGCCCGGCGAGGACGAGCCCGCGCGCGCCGGAGGCCACGTCCACCTGCTGCGAGGACAGGTGACCCCCCTCCCACCGTGCACATGCCCCGCCGCCCCCAGCCCGGGGCCCTGCACCCTCGCCCGGCCCCGCCCCGGCCACAGCGGGTTCCAGGCCGCGGGGTGGGGGGTCGGGTTTATTCTAAGACGAGTGGGGATAGCAGCGCGGGGCGGGGGCGTGGGGTGGGCCAGGGGCACAGGGTTGCCGCAGATCTGAGACTGAGCTTAGGGACCCACAGGAGGGCAGGGTCCAGGGTGCGGGAGAGGACCAGTCAGAGCGCAGAGGTAGCTTTGGGGTCTTAATTGATGAGGGACGCGGGATGAGGACCAGGGCTGGGTCACGCAGGGATTTTTTGGGGGGAAGGGGGGGAGACGCGGGCAGAAGTGGGACCTGCAGTTCTCAGGATGGCCGAGAGGGGGCGGCCTAGCGTTTTTTTTCCTGCCGGGTTATGGACCGCGACGCACCAGCAGGTAGCACCAGGCCCACAGTGTGATGCAGGAGATGGAGTTTGTTTGCTCCGGAAGGGGGCAAGCCGAGAAGAGAGTTCTGGAAGTGAGAACCAGAATGCCAGGGGAACGCAGAGCCATCAGTGTCCTGGCTCTGAACCTCTGTGCTGAGGGCACAGCAACGTGCCCCCTGGAGCTCCCTCCTGGGTATGGATCTGCACTGAGACACCCCCCACCTGTGCCCAGGTGCCCCTCGTGATGAAAGCCCTGCGGCGGCAACTCAAGGACCGGAGCGTCCGAGCCCGCCAGGGCTGCTTCAGCCTCCTGTCCGAGCTGGCCAGCGTCCTCCCCGGCAGCCTGGCTGAGCACATGCCGGCGCTGGTAGCAGGTAGGAGGCCCTGAACCAGCCTCTAGAACCTGCACCCCAGCCCAGCGGAAGCCTGTTTTCACCAGTATGTGGACCCCCCCACTTCCCATAATTCCCAGGCACACCCCTGACTTCCTGGTTCCAGGTGGGCTGAGCTGGGCTCGCCCTGTACGTCCAGGCTCTGTGGCCTTGTAACCACTGTCCCCCACCTGCAGGCATCGTCTTCTCGCTTGGGGACCGCTCCAGCTCCTCCACCATCCGCATCGACGCCCTGGCCTTTCTGCAGGGGTTGCTGGCCACGGAGCCAGCCGAGGCCTTCCACCCGCACCTGCCCAGGCTGCTGTCCCCGCTGATGGCCTGCGTGGCGGACCCCTTCTACAAGATCGCGGCAGAGGCCCTGCTGGTGCTGCAGGAGCTGGTGCGCCGCCTGTGGCCGCTGGCCACACCGCGGAAGCTGGACCCGGAGCCGTACATCGGAGAGATGTCCGCGGCCACCCTGGCACGGCTCCGCGCCACCGACCTGGACCAAGAGGTGAAGGAGCGGGCCATCTCCTGCATGGGCCACCTCATCGCCCACCTGGGGGATCGGCTCGGGCCTGACCTGAAGCCGTCGCTGTTACTCCTGCTGGAGCGTCTGCGAAACGAGATCACACGGCTGCCCGCCGTGAAGGCGCTTGCGCTAGTGGCTGCGTCCCCACTGCGGGTTGACCTGCAGCCCATCCTGGCCGAGGCGCTGCCCATCCTGGCCTCGTTCCTACGCAAGAACCAGCGGGCGCTGCGGCTGGCCACGCTGGCTGCCCTGGACGCGCTGGTTCGGAGCCAGGGACTCAGCCTCCCGCTGCCCGCTGTCCAGGCGGTGCTGGCTGAGTTGCCCGCCCTGGTCCATGAAAGTGACATGCATGTGGCCCAGCTGGCGGTGGACTTCCTCACCACGGTGACCCAGGCCCAGCCGGCCTCTTTGGCCAAAGTCAGCCACCTGGTGCTCTCGGAGCTGCTGCGGCTCCTGCAATCGCCCCTGCTCCCGGCCGGAGCACTGGCGGCTGCTGAGGGCTTCCTGCAAGCTCTGGTGGGGAGCCGGCCAGCGTGCGTGGCCTATGCGGAGCTCATGCGTCTGCTCACTGCGCCCGTCCACGAGCCGGCTGCGGAGGGAGGGCCGGGCCCGCACAAACAGGTCTTCCACTCGCTGGCCCGCTGTGTGGCAGCAGTCACAGCCGCGTGTCCGCAGGAGGCCGCCGCCACCGCCAGGCGCCTGGTCTGTGACGCCAGGTCTCCTGACTCCAGCACAGCCGTCAAAGTGCTGGCGTTCCTCTCGCTGGCCGAAGTGGGCCAAGTGGCCGGGTCCGGTCCCCAGCAGGAGCTCAAGGAGGTGCTTCTGGAAGCCTTGGGGTCCCCCAGTGAGGACGTGAGGGCGGCCGCCTCCTATGCGCTGGGCCGCGTGGGTGCCAGGAATCTGCCCGACTTCCTGCCCTTCCTGCTGGGGCAGATCGAGGCGGAGCCCCGGCGACTGTACCTGCTGCTGCAGGCGCTGCGGGAGGCGCTGGGGGCCGCCCCACCCGACCGCCTGAAGCCCTTCGCCGAGGACGTCTGGGCCCTGCTCCTGCAGCGCTGCGAGGCTGCGGAGGAGGGCGCGCGGGGCGTGGTGGCCGAGTGCCTGGGGAAGCTGGTGCTCAGCGACCCTCCGTTCCTGCTGCCCCGACTCCAGAAGCAACTGGCTGCAGGTAGGGGGCCCCTGAATGGGCAGAGGCAGCCGTGATCCGAGCTAGGTGGCCATTGGCAGGCACAGGGAGGGCTGAGTCCCAGGTTAGGAAAATAAAGGCAGAAACGATTTCCTCTGCCTCCTGTGGGGCTGTCTGAGCCGCTGCAGGATTCGAGTCTTGCAACAAGTCAGCTTTCCCCACGCCACCTTCATAATGCCAGGATGGCCAGGAACCGGATGGTCCAGCCAGAGGTTAAGAGAAGCGTTTCCGGGCTGGAGAGATACTACAGGGGTCGACGTGCTGGCCTTGAACACTGCCAACCCTGCCTTAACCCCCAGCACCACTAGGAGGGACCTCTGAGCAGAGAACCAGGAGTAAACCCTGAGCACTGCAGGGTGTGGCCCAAAAATCAGAGAGAGAGAGAGAGAGAGAGAGAGAGAGAGAGAGAGAGCACTCTCCAGGGAAAACACTACAGAGAACACATACTCTTGGGGTATGGCTCAGCCAGCATTTAGGTTAGGAGAAAAGAGAAAGGGGAAAACTATGACTCCAAAGTAGAAACTCTTTTTCGGTCTCTCCTTATACTTAATTGTAAACCTTCTGCATCACTAAGTCATAGTCTGGGTGATGGAAATGATCTTAACTTCCTGCTAGGTGCTGAGGGTGGCGTGAGATAGGAGCCTTTTATTTTTCCAGTTTTATTGCAATAGAATTAACATTTAACAGTGCATTTGTTAAAATCGGGCTTAAGGATCTGATACACGTCCATGCTGCCATTACCACATCCAGTCTGACGGACACCCATCACCTCTCACCTTTACCGTGTTTTCAAAGGACTTTTAGATCTACTAAAAGTAAAGTTGTCTGGGGACCACACCTGGCCATTGCTAGATCACACTTCTTGTGGTGGGAGTGAGGAGGTTTGGGCCACAGTCACCAGTGCTTCGGGGATACTCAGTGCAGTAATACCCAAAATATTGCCCAGACTCATTTCAAGAAGCGTTTTCCTTGTGCTAGGAGTGGTATGGCTCAAGGACTTAGCTGCGAGTTTTTACTCCAGCTTGAGACGTTCTTGTGAGCGGTGCACAGCAGGGTCCAGTTCCATCCTGCTGTCATCAAGCTCTAGTTTCCCAGCACCCTTGATGGACTAGATTTTCTTCTTCACTGAGTATTCTTGGCGCCTTTGTTTGTTGTTATCCTTCGGGGGGGAACCTCATATGAAAGCCTTAGGGCCACCGGGTGCGGGAGACCCAGGCCTCAAACACACAAGACACTTGTCTTACCCCTCGGGCCATGTCCGCCTGCCTCCCGGAGCTCCTTTGTCACCTATGATTTGACCATATTCGCGAATTTCTGAGCTCTTGCTCCATTGATCTACATGTTGTTTTTATGCCAGTACCATACTGATTTGGATGACTAGAGGTTTTTAATATAGATCTTTTTGAGGAGTGGGGGGGCCCACCCAACTGAACTCAGGGCCCAGGCTTGAGACTGCTCAGGGAGCACTGCTGGTGCACCTCCAGGGTCACTCCATCTGTGGTGCCAGGGATCAAACCTGAATCAGCCACGTCGAGGCGAGAGCCCCGCCTACTGTGCTGTCTTTCTGGCCCTTGGAATCTATCTTGAAACCAAGCTGTGTCGCCTTTAGCTTTGTTCCTGTTTCCGAAGGATTGTTGACTTTTTTTTTTTTAATTTTTATTAGTGAAACACCATGAGGTACAGTTGTAGACTTACACATTTTTGTGCTTGGGTTTCAGTTATACAATGATCGAGTACCCATCCCTCCACCAGTGCCCATTTCCCACCACCACGGGTCCCAGTATCCCTCCCACCCCCCATCCCCCCCTCTGTGGCAGGGCATTCCCTTTTGTTCTCTCTCTCCTTTTGGGTGCTGTGGTCTGCAAGAGAGGCATTGAGTGGCAATCATGTTCGGTCTATAGTCTACTTTTAGCATGCATCTCCCATCTTTGAAGGATCCTCCCAACACCCTTTACTTAGTGCTCCCTTCTCTATCTGAGCTGCCTTTTGCTGCATGTGCGGCTGGCCTCCAAGCCATGGAGTGAACCTCCTGGTACTTATCTCGGCTATTCTTGGGTGTTAGTCTCCTATTTTGTTACTTCATGTTCCCCAGATGAATAGGATTGCTGACTTCTAAGGGTCTTCTGTGGTTCCATAGAGATTTTAGGGCTTTACCTCCTGCTTCTGGGAAGCAAACGTGACTAGTTTAGAGAGATCTGAGAACTTGGTTTCCCCAGAACGGGGGATACATTTCCCTCTTTCTTCAGCTTCTTTCCCAGGAAGCAAGACTGAGCACTATGAAGGGAGCTCTCTGTTGCTAAGTTCGGGCAATGCTCTGCATTTCATGGGCCTGCCTCGCCCTTGCCCTACCTGCGGGTTGGACTGGGCAGGGCGCAGAATTGGCCACAGGACTCTAGATCTGCTGGGAAGCGCTGGGATGTGCATTTCATCTTTCTGGGTCTCTCTTCCAGCCATCATTTTTATTAATCCTGTGTGTAATAAATTATTGCTTTCCATTATTAGTTAGTAGATGGGGATCTGGAGTGTCGCAGGGTGCAGTTTTGTCTCTCACAGAGCCAGAGGAAGCCATGGTTCCTCAGGGACTTGGAGGTGTCCTTGCCTGGCCCCAGGCTCCCCTGCCGCCCTCCTGTCCCGCAGGCCACCCGCACACCCGGAGCACTGTCATCACCGCGGTCAAATTCCTCATCTCAGACCAGCCCCAGCCCATCGACCCCCTCCTCAAGAGTCTCATTGGTGAGCCCCCCTCACCCCGGCTGGCCACCCAGCAGCCCCCGATGTAGGCAGCAGGGCTGAGCACGCCAGCATGGCCCTCCCTTTCTCCCATCATCTGCAGTGGGGGGAGGGGGTTCCCTAGCAACCCCACCCCATCTCGTGCTCCCAGTGTAACAGGAAGCCAGCACTGGCACGGGGTACAAATTCTGCACCCAGGGGCCGGAGCGATAGCACAGCGGGTAGGGCGTTTGCCTTCCACGCGACTGACCCTGGTTCGATTCCCAGCATTCCATATGGTCCCCCGAGCACCGCCAGGGGTAATTCCTGAGTGCAGAACCAGGAGTAACCCCTGAGCATCGCCAAGTGTGACCCCCAAAAGCAAAAGCAAACAAATAAAAACAAATTCTGCACCCAAACTGTCCCCCCCAGGGCACTGCTCAGGCAGTCCTTGGGGTGGTCTCTGCCCTGGGGTGAAAACTCTGGTTCTGGTTCACTCGGAGACCATGACAGGCCCCTTCACCCGAAAGACTCTTTTTTTGACTAGTGTTGTGGTCCCTGCAGGTGCCCCCTCCCCCCCATCACCCATTTGTCTACTGCCTTGGGCCTCCGCAGTGTCTCTGCCAGGGGCGGTTGCTGAGTTCTGCCCCCTTCCAGAGGATTCTTTCCTTGAAGAAAGGAAAGTAGGGTCGGGGAGACGGCTCAGTGGGAAGCACTTGGCACGGGTTTTGATCCCGGCAGAGGCAAAGGGGAAAAACGCTCCCTTCTTCCCCACACAGTCATGCATTCGCCCCTCTCATTAAGGAACTTATGGATTCCTTCCTATTTGATTCATTGGGTTCTGATGATAATTATTTTGGGTTATTTTTTTTGTTTGGTTTGGGGCCACACGCAGAGATACTCAGGGCTTACTCCTGGCTCTGTGCTCAGGAATCACTCCCGATCGAGCCTGGGATGGCCACGTGCAAGGCAAGTGCCCTACACGTACTAAGGCTCCAGCCCCAGATTTGGATTATTTTAATTTTTTATGATCTCCCAGTGCTCAGGAGTCCCAGGGCCCTCCCTTAGCCATTCTTGACCAGCCTGATCAATGGTCAGTGAGGGCCTGAGGACGTGCTGCTGCAGCCCTTTGGTGGCGGGGATCACCTGGAGACCCCATCCGTGATGGGGGCCCCAGGCCTCCAGCCCTTCGACCTACCTGCCCAGCGCAGAGAGAGCTTTCTCTAGAATTCACTTAGGTCAGATGTTCCTCAAATGGGTGATTACAGCACTCCTTTGAAATACAGTAAGGGTTGGCTTGTTTTCTTTTTGATTTGTTTTACTGACTGGCAGTGCCAGGGATCGAACCCCGGCCCTCACCTATGCAAAACAATTGCTTTATCACTGAACTACAACCTTGACCAGTTTAGGGTTTTCTTTTCTTTTTGCTTTTTGGGTCACACCCGGCGATGCTCAGGGATAACTCCTGGCTCATGCACTCAGGAATTACTCCTGGCAGTGCTCGGAGGACCATATGCTGGGAATCGACCCGGGGTCGGCTGGGTGCAAGGCAAACGCCCTACCCGCTGTGCTATTGCTCCAGCCCCAGTTTAGGGTTTTCTTGGTGGGGGGGTACTCCACTTAAGATTACATTTATTTGGGACTGAAGCAGTAGTATAGTGGGTAGGGCATTTGCCTCACATACAGCTGACCTGGGTTTGATCCCCAGAATCCCACATGGTCCTGAGCCCCCAGGAGGGGGGACTCATAACAAAAAATTTCATCTATTTATTGTGTACTTATTTTATTATTTATTTATTTTTGGCTTTTTGGGTCACACCCAGCTCAGGAGTTATTCCTGGCTCTGCGCTCAGGAATCACGCCTGGGCGAACCATATGGGATGCCGGGATGGGACTGGGTCAGCTCCATGCTGTACTATTGCTGGGGCCCCTCATTCCTTACTTACTATACTAACAGTGATCCAAAGTCTAACACCTTCAGAACGCAGGCAGCTGCTCCCATTACTTTCTCTGGCCCTCCCAAGACCTCACGGGTAGCAGGTGCCTGCTGACAGCATCCATTCATGACCTATTAGCCCTGGGACCAGCCTTCCAGTAGGCAGGTGGTTGTTTGGGTGCTGGTGTCACCCACATTTCACAGATGAGGACACTGAGGCTGCCCAAAGGCCCATAGTCAGGGAGCGGCACGCCGGGACTGGAAGCCAGGAGGGCCCCTTGAACCTGTGAGGTTTGGTGCATCCCGCGCCCAGACACAGGCTTGCACCTGGCCAGCTGTGTGACCTCAAGGTTGGGTGTAGGCCCACTGCGGCCCCTCAAACCTCCCTCCGCTGCAGGTGAATTCATGGAGAGCCTGCAGGACCCGGACCTGAACGTGCGCCGAGCGGCTCTGGCTGTCCTCAACTCGGCCGTGCACAACAAGCCCGCGCTCATCCAGGACCTGCTGGACCGCATCCTGCCGCACCTCTACCAGGAAACCAAGATCCGCAGGGACCTCATCCGAGAGGTGTGCCCGGTGCGGGTGGGGGGGTACAGCCGGGACGAAAGGCACACTCCTGCCCTCCGTCCAACCAGGGCCAGGGGCAGCCTGAACCTCTCTGAATCCGAGTAGGTTTTTTTATTTTTCTTAATGCACTGTCCTCCTATTGTTCACTGATTTGCTCGAGCAGGCCCAGTAATGTCTCCATTTTGAGACTTGTTGTTACTGTGTTTGGCATATCAGATACGTCACGGGGAGCTTGCCAGGCTTTGCCGTGTGGGCGAGATACTCTCAGTCACTCAATAGCACAGCGGTAGGGCATTTGCCTTGCATGTAGCCAGCCCGGCTGAGCCGGGTTCAATTCTTCTGTCCCTCTCGGAGAGCCCGGCAAGCTACCGAGTTTCAAAGTAGAGTGTGGGAAATCTCTGCATCCACATGCATGGCCAGGCGAGCTGACCCGGCTCAGATGTGCTCCAGGCGCGCTGGGCAGTGGCGGGAAGCAGACGTGGGTCTCTGGCAGGGCCGCCCTGGCCCAGAGACATGTGCTTTGCTGAGTTTGGAACTTTTGTATTTGTTTTTGGGCCACACCTGGCGAAGCTCCGGACTTACTCCTGGCTCAGCACTAAGGTGTCACTCCTGGCTGGTCCTCGGGGGACCCTGTGGAATGCTGGGGATTGAACCCAGATCAGCCACATGCAAGGCGAATACCCTCCCCGCTGTCCTATCGTGCTGGTCCTGAGTTTGGAACTTCTTTCCAGGCTGCTGAAAAGTTCCACGTCAGGGCTAGATAGTAAAGGGGGTTCATCAGCCAAGTCCTTGTACAGTGTAATAAACAGACCTGAAGTACCTGGATTAGGAAACTCCTGAGCACTGCCCAGTGCTCCCAGCAAGCCCCCCTTACTGCTGAGCCCCAGCATACCCATCAGACTCAGCACCACTGGGTGTGAGGCCCTCCAAAAAAGAGAGGGGCCCTTTGAGTTGGCCATTGAGAGGTGAGAGGAAGCTTACTTTTGTGGGGATTCGTTTTTTTTGTTGTTGTTGTGTGTTTGTTTTGGAGTCACACCCAGCAGTTTTCCTGGATCAGAACAGGGGGACCTGGGTCTGGAGCAATAACACGGCAGGTAGGGCCTTTGCCTTGCACGCGGCCAACCTGAGTTCGATCCTCTGCATCCCATATGGTCCCTGAGCACTGCCAGGAGTAATTCCAGAGTACAGAGCCAGGAGTAACGCCTGAGCCTCGGTGGGTGTGACCCAAAAAGCAAATAAAACTGGGAGACCAAATGATATCAGGGATCAGCAGGAGGTGCTCAGAGGACCATACTGGGTGCTGGGAATGGAACCAGGTCGGCTGTGTGCAAACAGGCACCCCACTTCCTGCACAGTTGCTCTGGCCCTGAGACTGGGTTTTTAGTTCTGATTTAGTCACTTAGTAGCTGCGTGTCCTTGGGCAGGCGACTGGCTCTCCAGGCCTCCCTCCCCTCAGCTGTTCATGGGGTCCGTAATAAGGTGTCCCCTAGGGCTGCAGGATGTCATTGTTACTGCATACCCCAGTCAGCGGCGGCGGCAAGGCCACTGTGGGCTGAGCGGAAGTGCCAAGACTTGGATGTAGGGACACGCTCTGGGGACAAGACTCAGCTTCCGGATGAGAGATGGGGGTGCAGGAGCAGGAGGGAGGGGCGCCTTCCGACACTCAGGTCTCCCCCAGGTGGAGATGGGCCCCTTCAAGCACACGGTGGACGACGGGCTGGATGTGCGGAAGGCGGCCTTTGAATGCATGTACTCGCTGCTGGAGGGCTGCCTGGGCCAGCTGGACATGTGCGAGTTCCTGAACCACGTGGAGGACGGCCTGAAGGACCACTACGACATCCGGGTAGGATGAGCTGCACGTGGCCTGACCGCGCGTGGGGGTGTTGGGGCTGCCTCTGTGGAGGCGAGCTGGCAGAGCCCAGGAAAGAAATGCAGATACGCGCCGTCACACTGCAGTGTTGTGCTCATGGGCACTGCACACGAGTTTGAGGTTCCAGAGATTTCTTCACAGCATTCACCCCAACTTCTGGGGGAGGCTGTGGCGAGCGGGGCTGGTCTAAGAGCTGCTCTCGTGCCAAGCTCCCTGCTGCTGGGGCCTCACCTTAGCTGGGTTGCGGGGGGCATGTGTGGGGGTGCAAGCCACACGATTCCTCCCGGCAACATGGGGGAATTTGACCACTTCTGTGAGGTTGTCCCGCTCTGGCAAATGGAGCCCGGCCTGCCGCATTTAACTGAATGTTTTTTTTTTTTTAATTTTTGTTGATTTTAACCAGGTGCCAATGTTTAAAAATAGGGAGATTTTTCATAAAAATCGGGGTTTCTTTTGCAAACAGCCCGCCCACCTTGCCAGTGGGCTGGAGGCGAGCAGCTGCCATGGGGCGTGTGGGCCCATCTGGCCCGTCCCTGCTGCCTTGCCCGCCCCCGGACACGCAGGAGCAAGGAGCTGGATTTGATGCCCGTGAAGACACTGGGCTGCATACAGGAAAGACGGGGACAGGAGTTGGTAGGGCTGGAGTGCCAGGTCTGGGCAGGTACCTCTGCCCCTCCCCCGGATCACCGCCTCTTGGTTCCCTCCCTGGCAGATGCTGACCTTCATCATGCTCGCGCGACTGGCAACCCTGTGTCCTGTGCCCGTCCTGCAGCGGGTGGACCGGCTCATCGAACCACTCAGGGCCACCTGCACTGCCAAGGTAAGGAAGGCTCTTGCCCAGTCCTCAAAGGGGCATGGAAGGCCGATGCCCTCCCTCTTGTCAGGGGTCCAAAGGCTGCAGAGCTGGGAGTCAGCCTGGCTGCCCACCCACTAACCATCACCTCCAGGGAGCCAAGCCCCATGGGGGCAGCTGAGACCAGCTCTGCCCTGGGTGGGTGCAGATGGACACTCGGCCCGTGCAGCTGGCAGGACTCGGGCCCGTGGCCTCCTGGAATATTTGCCACCAATTCTGGGACACCTGACACCTGAGGGAGCCAGTAACTAGAATAAGACTATTTGGGTGTCTTTTTTTTTTTTGCTTTTTGAGTCATAGCTGGTGGTGCTCAGGGGTTACTCCTGGCTCTGCACTCAGGAATCACTCCTGGCGGTGCTCGGGAGACCGTATGGGATGCCAGGGATCGAATCCAGGTTGTTGCGTGCAAGGCAAAAGCCCTACCTGCTGTGCTGTCGCTCCACCCCCCAGACTAGTTGGGCTTTTGGAAGGTGAAGAATTAACCAAACAGAGGCAGAATTTTCTCGATTGAATTTAACGAGAAGAGGGAGAAGGCTCTTGCCTCGCTTGTAGTAAATGGAAACTCAACTGACTTTATCCCAGCACCAGCAGGCATGGCCTCAAGAGAAAACAAGTGTTAGTTTTGGTTCTGGGCCATTCCCAGCAGTGCTCAGGGGTCATTCCGAGGTGCTTGGAGGACCCTGAGGAGTGCTGGAGATTGAACCTTAGCTGGCAGAGTGCTTGGCAAACACCCTACCTGCTGTACTATCTCTAGCCCCAGAGATACTAGAACCATTTTTGGTCGGGAGAGATTTGCACTTGGTGGTGCTGGGTACTGCTCCCAGCTCTGTGCTCAGGGACCACACTGCCCACGCCTTATTCCTGACTCTGCAAATGCCCTCCCCACTATACTATATCTCTGGCCCAGAACAATGGTCTTGTTTTGTGGCCACACTCAGTGCTGGGATGTAGCCTGGGGGTCCTGCATGAGAAGCTTCAGCCCAGAGCGTCTCCCTGGCCCCAAATCTTTTAAAGTAGCAAAGCCTTTTCGAGAAAACAAACTATTTTTGTGAAAATTTTATTTAGGGCCTTGTGGAGAGGAGAGGGGTCCATTTCCCATCCACAATCATAAAACCAGTTGTATTTACGGACTACGACCTTGAGTATTTACTGAGTAACATTGTAATACTGCAACACTGTCATCCTGTTGTTCATGCATTTGCCAGTAAGGTCTCCATTCATCCCAGCCCTGAGATTCTAGCAGCCTCTCCTTACTCGTCCTTCCCGACGCTGCCGTATTGGAGGCTCTTTCAGGGACAGGGGAATGAGACTCGTTATTGTTACTATTTTTGGCATCGAATACGCCACGGGTAGCTTGCCAGGTTCTGATTTACTGAGTACTGCCTATTATTTGCAGCTATCACCTTTCTTATGGCCAGTCCTCAGTTCCTGAAGCGTCCTGGCCCCCAGCCCTGCTCAGGGCACTTAAAGGTGACTCATCAGGACTGACTGAGGTCTATGTCAAGTTCTTGGCTCTGTGGCTGCCTGCAGGGATGGGAAACTGTTGGTGACACCCCTCAGCTAAATCCTCGTTACCCACTGGCCCCGGTGGCCTCACACAGGGCAAACACTGGAGTCTCCAGCACCGTTGGATGGGCTGTAAAGGACCCAGAGCCAATTCTGGGGAGGGGGCTGTCTGCAGGGAGGGTACGCAGGGGGGTCTCTGCAGGGCAAGTTCTGGGCTCCACCCAGGCGGGCTCCTGTTCCTCCCTCAGGTAAAGGCGGGCTCTGTGCGGCAGGAGTTTGAGAAGCAGGACGAGCTGAAGCGTTCAGCGATGCGGGCCGTGGCCGCCCTGCTCACCATCCCCGAAGTGGGGAAAAGCCCCACCATGGCCGACTTTTCCTCCCAAATCCGCGCCAACCCCGAACTGGCCGCACTCTTCGAGAGCATCCAGAAGGATTCTGCCTCAGCACCCAACACAGACGCCATGGAGCTCAGCTAGCTCTCCCCTCGCCTGGGTGAACCCCAACATGAGCCAGGGGCCCCCAAGCCTGAGGCCCACTGGCCCTTACAAGTGGCTTCTTCTAGGACCCCAGTCCCAAGCTCCTTGGAGGCTGCCAGCAGTTGGGTCCTGTAACTCAGGCCAATTAAAGTAAGAGGTGGTTTTCTAGACCTTTCTAGAAGCTGGATGCTACTTCACACTACTGGTCAGTCTCTGCCTGCAAAGCCAACTGGCACTTCGGCTGGGCAACTGGACACCCCAGAGGCCTGAACTCACATTTCAGAATCCAAAACGCTATTCTGATGAGTCAAGTGCACAGCTTTGAAGGGGAGGCAAGCGGGCAGGGAATTGGACCTAATGACCTTGACTTTCAGAACCTTTAGGCAGCAATGGGGGAATAGCGACCCACCATTTCTAATGTGCAGTACCAGGTCAGGTGACACCCTTCAGTCTTCTGGCTCAAGCCACTCCTCCCTCTGAGACCACAACCAGGGTCAAAGCAAGGGAAAGGAATTGTGAGCCTGGGGTCGAAGTGATAGGACAGCGGGGAGGGCATTTGCTTTGCATATGGCTGACGGGGTTCGATCCCCAGAATCCCATATGGTCCCCCACCCCCCAGCACTGCCCCAAATAACTCATGAGTACAGAGCCAGGAGTAATCCCTGAGCATCACCAGGCGTGACTCAAAAAGACAAAAAAGAAATTGCGAACTCGGCAATATTCAGAACAGGTGATGGTCTATAAAGCCGTTTCTGACCAGGTCTGAGATTCATCTGCAGCCAGAAATCCCAAGACTATGGGACAGGCATCAGCACAAGCCCCCTGGGTGGCCGAGGAAGGGCAGGTTTCTGCTGAAAGGGAACCAATAAAAATGTAACCCCCCCAATTTTACCAGTCAGATTTAACCAATGGCACTTGAGCCTACACTCTGAGAAACAGAAATGATGCCTAGAACAGTGACTGAAGAAACTGCTGAAAACTCATCTTCAAAAACCCAAGGCAGGGGCTGGAGCGATAGCACAGCGGGTAGGGCATTTGCCTTGCACGCAGCCAACATGGCCGACCCAGGTTCAATTCCCAGCATCCCATATGGCCCCCCGAGCACCGCCAGGAGTAATTCCTGAGTGCAGGAGTAACCAGGAGTAACCCCTGAGCATCGCCGGGTATGACCCAAAAAGCCAAAACAAAACAAAACAAAAAACAAAAACAAAAACAAAACAAACCCAAGGCAGGTTAGAGAGAGACAATAACAACACAGATTACAGAATTCTGTTTAGGTCGAGTTTAAGGAAGAAACTAATCTGAACCCTGTCCCGCATTTTCTCAGCCTTGTAACTCAAACACCTGAATGGAGACTAGTGTCTTCCTGCAGGGAGCTGAAGGTCCCCCCAAGGGTCACGGAGAGCAGACCAGGCCCCACTGGGCACCTTCCTTCCGGTGAAGAATGAGTATCAACAAACCTCTTCCCAATTTCACAGTGTACCAACAGCGAAAGAGCAGTTTGTGACAGCTGTCAAAGTACAAAGCTGCGGAGCAAGCCCAACACCAGATGGTACTTTTACACACTTTATTAACACAATGCGAGGCGCCCAACGCCTGCCTACTCGTTCTCTTCGCTGCGCAGCCGGGCATTGGGGTTGGTGACTCTGATGGCCAGCTGGGCCGCTCTTTCCACGATTGCTTTGCGGTTCTTGGAGGACACATTGTGAGCGATCTCGGCACAGTAAGATCTGGAAAAGAAGCACAAGGAGAGTTAGGACAAAGGCAGCCGCCATGGACAAGCCCAGCAGGCCACTCCATAGCCACAGTACACAGCACAAAGGGTTGCGGCAAAAGGCTACTGGCTGAGACCCCAAACCAACCCCCACTCCCAATTCCACAGCACCAGCAGCAAAGCTCCCAAAACATATCCGAGTACTGACAAAAACGGTCCCTTCAAATAATCCTGACAACAGCCTTGCATGATCACCTCGACCTCACAGGCAAAGAAGTCAAGGCCCACCGAAGCAGATGTGACCCCTGGGCCAGCATCAGCTAACAGGCAGGTGAGCGTGACTTAGCTCAGACTGTAGCTGTCAGGCTCTCAGCCTTCTGGCCAGTCTTGCCCATGAAAAGTTCTCAATTACTTTGCAAAATAACGTGAAAGTGAATGACAGTCCGGTCCAGCACCGAGACCCCAGGCCAGGAGCTACCAGGCCCACTGGACAAACTGGACCCAAGGGCACATTTCCATAAGGAGGTGATTTATGAAGCCACCAACAATTTCAGCAGACCAAAAAAAAAAAAAAAAAAAAAAAAAGCGAAGGCAGTGGGGCGTTCTTTAAGAACTAGAGGAGGGGCTGGAGTGATAGCACAGTGAGTAGGGCATTTGCCTTGCACGCAACTGACCCGGGTTCGATTCCCAGCATCCTATATGGCCCCCCGTGCAAGGCCAGGAGTAATTCCTGAGCGCACGAACCAGGAGTATCCCCTGTGCATCACCGGGTATGAACCCCCCCCCAAAAAAACAAAACAAAACCCAACCCCAAACTAGAGGGAAGAACCGAATGAGACAAGCCAGGCATGTGCCCCAAGCTGCACCCTCCCGACACTCCAGGCTGCTACTTAAGACATTTAACTACTTGTTCCCATGCGTCTAATGATCAGAATACTGCTCAATAGCCCCTGCAGGACTGGGGACCATCTTCCAACACCCCTGGGATGCCCCAAACCACAAACTGTGGCAACCTACAAGCTGCTTTCTCAGTGTACATATGTAATATACGCACAAGGTAAATTCATAAACTCGGCACAGCGAGAGATTCACTGAAGCCCCTTACACCAAGGGGTCATGCAGAGCCAGGAGCAACGCCTGAGCACTACTGGATGTCACCCCAAACTTTAAGGTAATGAAACTGACAGTGGGCTGGAGTGATGGTGCAGCAGGGAGACTGATCCTTGTATGCATCTGACCCGGGTTCAAACCCCAGCATTGCATATACCCCCCCCCTGCGCCATCAGCACAAGGCCAGGAGTTAAACCTTCATCGCCACCAGGTATGCCCCCTGCCCCATGAAAAAAACAGCTGACACTAGCAACAGCACACTGTGGTGAAAGTGAGGTCAACATTCTTTAACGTAGAGCGTTTCTGGAACTCAAACCAGAAAGGGACGCAGGAGCCAGAAGGGCAGGCCTGCCCTCGGCGGCACACCTTCCACACACCACGAGCGGCGGAGCAGCCACTTAGCTGACTCTGTTCCCGAACGCTCCTCCCCTCCCTCCCTCTTTTTGGTTCTTGGTCCATGAGCGAGGGCACGCAGGGGACCCTCTGTGTGGCACTGGGGATGGAACCTGGGTCAGCGGTGCACAAGGCAAGCGCCCTGCCCGCTGTCCTATCACTACTCCAGCCCTGCGGCCGTACATTCCCAATCTCCACTTCCATAGCCACACCCCTTTTATTGTCCCCACTTTCCAGTATGAAAAAGGATAAACGCCCCAAAATGGAACCGGCAGATCAAAGGTCCTAAGCATCCCCCCGCCCTGTCCCAAGGCCTGAGTATTTTTATGACAATACGAACCACCAAGGTGCTTTCAATTCACAACATGCCAGTACTAAGCACTATCCACCCTTCCATCAGCCCGCTCAACTGCCATCTCAGCACTCACCAGGGACGCCTCTGGTATCCTTTCCGTGGTAAAAGCATTTCAATACCTGGCTGAATTTCCAATTTAGTAACCCAACCAAGTCAGAACAGCTTAGTTTCATTTCTGACTGGCACCAACAATCACCCAAGAGATTCTTGTAAGCACCCCCCCCGCCCCCGAGTCACACTCTTTACTTTCTTAGAAAGGCAGGGTTTCCGCCTCAACAGAGAATGAAGTTAACTCAAGCCCTCCTCAACCAGAATCATCACGCTGTTCATGGAGACACCAGCACCTCAACCACCCCCCCCTCCCCGCGGAATCTGTTCTTCCCCCACTGCTCTGGCCTCTGGCCTGAAGCCGTCAAGCCTCTTTCAGGGGTGGCGAGGCAGCTCTGAGGGAACCCCAGCACTGCTTGGTCTCGTCCTGCCCTATACCTTTGCAAAGCTGTACCCCCCTCAGATCGCCGGGCTTGAAACTAGGCAGCCACCCATTAGTGACAACTATGGCCAAAGCAGCGTGTGTCCTTGGGCCCAAAGCTACCTCTCATCTCCCCCTACGTGACAGAGCAAGGTTCAGAAAGTGTCACAAAAGGACACTCAGCCTCTCTGAGGCTTGGGTGCCTGCACTTCTCAGAAGCACGCCCGGAGGATTCTAGAAGACCTAGGATAGCGGCTGCAGGCATGCCAGGAAGAGCACAAGCCTGCAAACCAGCCATCAGTGCGCACTCCACCAAGCATGCAGAACCTGCCCCAGACCCAGAGGCGGGCCCCCCACTCACTTGTTGCACATCAGCAACACCTCGAGCTCCTTGACGTTGTGGACCAGGAACTTCCGGAAGCCGCTGGGCAGCATGTGCTTCGTCTTCTTGTTGCTCCCGTAACCGATGTTGGGCATCAGGATCTGGCCCTTGAATCTGCGGCGCACCCTGTTGTCAATGCCTCTGGGCTTGCGCCAGTTCCGCTGAGGGAGAGACAGAAGGACTGGGCTCAGCCCGGCAGCTGGAGGGCGAGGGTGGGCAAGGACACAACAGGCGGACACAACAGGCCAGCGGCCCAAACAACAGTCTCCGGGCTAGAGGCCTCACGGTTCCCACTTTGCTTTTTCAGTGGGTGAGAACTTGACCCACGTGTGAAATTCAACCCCTCCCCAACTGACAGCACCCCACAAAGGGGGGGTGCTGTCCTGCCTTTGATCGCTAGGAATGCACACCCCTATTCACATTTTTCCAGGCATAGGAAAAGCAGATCACATACAAGTGGGGCGGGAGTGACTGGGCGAGTCCAAGGGCAGAAACTTCCCAAGGTTCTCAAGACTGAGTGCTCCCAGCAGCAGAGATAGCAGGGTGTCTGCTCTGCATGCAGCACATCCGGCTTAATCCTGGACACGCCATATGGCCTCTCAAGACCTCCGGGAGTGGTCCTTGAGTGCAGAGGCAGGAGCCCCGAGCACCACTGGGTGTGCCCCTCCCCAAGAGAGAGGAAAAATGACCACGCTAGCGCTTATGGGCCCGTTCACAGCCCCCCCCCCACCAGAGCTCCTGGTACCTTAATCTTGACATAGCGGTCAGACTGGTGCCTGATGAACTTCTTGGTCCTCTTTTTGACGATCTTAGGTTTCACGAGGGGTCTGAGGGCGGCCATGGTGCCTTCTGCAAAGAGCGAGACGCATCTGTAAGGCCCACAAGTCCCCTCCCCACCGGGGGCGGCCGGGTCGGACTGTCCGGCCTCTCGGAGCACTGTTGCAGAGTCTCTTCCAATCGCCAGCTATGGAGCAAGCTGGGACTGGAATGGGTATTCCTCTGCCGGACTTGCTCTCCCTCCCGTCTCCGAAGCTGGCAGAATACGAGCCACTCTCCAGACGCGATCCTGGGAGGTCGGGGGCCCCCTCCCCGCTCCCCGCTCCCCTGCAGCGGCCTGGCCCCCGCCCAGTGCCTCCTGGGGGTGCGAGGGACCCCGGGGCCCCGCTCGCGACCTCCAGACGACCCCGGCTGCGATCAGCAAGCGACCCTCGCGCCCCGCTGCCCCCGGAGACCCGCCCGGCCCCTGGGCGCACGTGGGCGCACGGCGGGGTTCCACGAGCGGCTGCACCCCCCGCAGCAGGCCCCGCCGGCCGCCACCCCGTGGGACGCGAACCTCCACCTCGGCGCGTGCCAAGTCTCCGTTCCTGTCCGCGCCCTGAGGCCCCCGGCAGAGCAATCCCCACCGAGCCGGCGGCGCGGAAGGCCCGTGCCCCTCGCCCGAGGGCGATGCTGCCCGGGAAAGGTCGCCCGGGCGGGGATGGCCGGCGATTCCGACTCACTTACCGGGAGACGGCGGCCACCTCCGTCGGAAGCGCCGAGGAAGAGAAGGGAAGGGGGGGGCGCAAGGGCTGATGGGAGTTAACCTGCAGGTCCTGCCAGGGGGAGGCGAGTACTTCCGGTTCGTGCGCCTCCAAAGACAATAAAGCCGCGCGTGAGAAAGAATACGGATAAAATTTTAAGGCTGTTGCACATCTGTAGGCATTAACGATAGGACTAAACAAAGCTGCCTTTGGGAATATGTAGAAAATTTGTAATTTTTTTTTTGCTCTTCTGAGACCCAGCAGGGGGCGGGTACTACTTCCGCCAGAAATTGAAGGCGCTTCGCCTGAGGACAAGCCAGCTTTTAGGCTAGTTCCGCCCGCGCTACTTCCGCCGCCTCCTAGTGCGCCCCCTCGCGATCCGGAGGGAACGAAACAGACACTTTGTAATCCCGCCCAGCGAATTAAAAGGCGGGAGCATCACTCAATCCGCTGTCATTGGGTGGGGCAGTCCCACAATTCTGTGAATTCTTTATTCCCCTTGCTGACATACAGAAGACAGTGGAGCTTAGAGGACGGACCCCCAAATCTACACGTCTGTTGGCCAAAACGCCCTGCTTTTTGTGGATATTTCTTCATTTGTTCTGCTTAGCTTTTGTTTTACACTTAAATACCGGGGGTGGGGTGGGGGGAACAGAAAGCTCCCCGATTCCACAGCTCTGAGACAACACAGATGTCACCAGCGAGCTGATAGGCGTCTTTCCAGGGCCCAGATGGAGAGAGAAGCGAAACTGGGGGTGTTGTCAACTGAAGAAGTGAGAAGGGAGGGAGGGAGCGTTGACAACTCTGTCAGGAGAGTTTGAGTGGAGGGAAGGGGAGCAAGGGGCCCGCAGAAGGAAGGCAGGGGCTGATGTCCCTGGGAAGCCCCTATATCCAGCAGCAGGACGGGGGACACTGACATCCAACCGGACATAGAGGCTGGAAGCTCGGTGCTCACGGCGGCCAGGCCTGAAGCAGGCCGGGAAGGACAGGTCTGGGTGGGTGGAGTTGATGAACCCAGAAACACCCTCCAACTGCGAAAGTCCCCAGCCATTCAAAAGCAATAACCCAGTGAGCCAGATCTTTGAGGAGGGGGAGAGATCAGCCACGTTTCTCAGAGAAGGGACACCCCCACTGCATGCTCTTTCCCTGGGGACCCTGTGCTCTGGGCCACAAGGCTGTGGAGTCTACCTGTCCAGGGGCTCTGACTACTGTGTTCCCCCAGACTTCTGGCCACTGCTCCTGGCAAGAGACCACATCGACTCAACTGCAAACGACAGGAAGGAGACACACTCCAACTCAGTTTATTTCCAGAGGACAGAGGTCAGGAGAGGGGGACACCTCAAGATTCTCCCTGTCCCTGGACACGTGTACTTCTAGGATACAGGACACTGGTGCGGGAGAAGCTGCCCAGGCCATCACACTGAAATGGGCTTGTTCATCAGGCTGTGGTCCAGAGCTCCGGGTCACATTGGTGCCCGGGGCCAGCCCTCTAGCCAATGAAGTACACCTTGTTGGCATCGTAGTTGGCATAGGTCACGTAGTTCGTGTTCTTAATGGGCCACCAGCGGTCGGGGTGGTAAATGGCTGGGTAGGCGGGGGGCTGCGGCCGGACACAGCTGAAGAGGGCCAGGCTCCGGTCCCTGCTCATGGTGGGCAGATAGAGCTGCAGCTTGTCCAGCAGCTGACCCGGCCAGAAGGCGTTGGGGTCGGTTCGCTGCAGGGACTCCGAGGTCTTGGACTCACTGAAAACAAGGACACAGAAGATCACGACGCCCTGCCAGGTCTCCTGCTCCATGGAGCAAACACCACAAGGGCACCCGGGGCCATGAGCAGGTGCCCAGGGGTCAGCTCCAAGGCTGGCGGCCAACTTCTGTGTCTCCACCCCCCACTCATTCCGTCTGATCTCTAGGCATTTTCAGCTGATGTGCAGGGTATGGACTTCAGTGCTGGCATGGCTGAATTCGAATCCTTAAGCCATGGGGTATAAGACCTCTGGCTTTGAGCAAGATATTTCACCTTTTGGCACCTCAGTTTGCTCGTCTGTCAAATGGGGATGCAGAGTCCCTTCATCAGATTTTCGGGAGCCCCAGAGCCATGTGTGCCTGCATCCTAACTGTGTTGCCTTCTCTCTTGCAAGCCCAAATGCAGGGTGTTCAGGGCACCGGGCCAGCTGCAGGGGCCCAGGCTCTGCCCTTCCCCGCCACTTTGCTTCTGGAGGCAAAAAAAAATCACACAGACCTGAGAAAATCCTCGAACTCCGGAAAGGGCATTTGCTTGACTTTCTGGGCTGCTTTCCTGGTGGAGGAGAGAAGGGTAGGGAGGAAATTCAGGTGGAGGGGCCACGGGAAATGGGCTTCGGTGGTTGCATCTCCCAGTCCACCACAGAGCAGAGACAGGAGAATTTCCTGGACCCGAGACCGAGTTGGGCCGTGCCCTGCTCCCCACGGGCTGGAGGAACACGTGTGGGGCTTGGGCTCATGCCCTGGCCAGCTGGCGACTGTGGGCTTTGGCGTGGCGATTCTGGGCTGGACCATCTCAGTCCTTCCAGGACCCCTAACTTCAAGAGCCCCAGTGGGGGTCGCTCCTGCTGTGCTCAGCTAAGAGCTCAGCTCCAGCCCCATGTGGCCGCAGGACCTTTGGTCCCGCAGTCCAAGTAGCAAGATGGAACCAATGCCCATTGCTGCCGGGGACAGTGTCCTGCTGCTGTGGCTGATACCCACGTGTACACACGTGCGCGTGCACACACACACGTCCGTGCTGCTGCCCTTGCCCTTGGTCCCAGCTGTCCAGGAATGGGTGGAAGTCGGGTGGCCAGCAGTGGTGCTCTGGGCACTGCTGCCCAATTTTTTCTCCCACGGGCTGGGCCCACTCCTGGTGGATGACAAGGGACCGGACAGGCGAGTGTTCTGGCCAGAACCAGGAAGCAATCACAGAAGCGTGGGGCATGGGTGACATGGCCCAGCCCTTTGAGAGTCTGTCCCCTGAGCCCAGAGGCCCTGCCCCCTCTCACTGCAGGGAGTCACCCCGTATTTAGAACCCTAAACCGCAATCCTTGCTTGGGGGGCCAAGTGTCTGCCGAGCTGCGCTTCGAGATACCTAACACTCCTGTCTTCTTGTGCTCACAGGGGAGTGTGAGGACCCTCAGCCCGGGTTCCCGGAGGGGCGCTTCTCTAAGAAGCCCCCTCTCTAAGAGGCTCCCCCTTTCAGCTGCTAGAGATCATGTGACTGGAGGAGGCATCGGCGGCGGGAAACCTGAGGCCCAGCTCCGGGCACAGGCCCGACCTACAGGACACCCCAGCAGATCAGAGTCCCAGCAAGCGCCACAGCCCTCTCCCGCACCCTCCACGACTGAGGCAGAGAGTAGGTGGGGTAGGGCGGAGTGGAGAGGAGATGGGGCGTGTGGGGGGGTAGGGTCGGGGCGGGGCAGAGAGGAGACCCGGTGGGCAGGAGAGGAGCAGGGCAGGAAGGAGAGATGGCAGGACAGAGGGGAGGCAGGGCGGGATGGAGAGGGGCAGGGAGGAAAGGAGGCGGGGCGGGGCTAGAGGGGCGGGGCTAGGGGGAGGGGCGGGGCAGGGCCGGGAGGAGGCGGGGCAGAGGAAGGTGGTACTCAGCTGGTCCCTCTTCTTGGACCCCGAATATTTCTGGCCAAAGAGCTGGTCGCTGTAGTAGCCCCCCGGCTGCCGGATGCGGTGCTTGTGGTCCTTCTGGAAAATGACCCTGTCTCCCGGGTACAGCAGGGCTGCGAGGAGAGAAACAAGGCCATCTCCAGGGTCCTCCTGGCCCCGCCTCTGGAGGCCCAGGGCACAGTATTGGTTTCCAGATACTCATTTTCTGGGGGCTGGCGGGGCGGGGCGGGGGGTCTGGGTCCCATCTAGCAGTGCTCAGGTCTTACTCCTGGCTGTGCTCAAGGGTCACCCCTGGGGGTGCTCATGGGACCATTTGCAATGCTGGGGATCAAACTTGGGTCCTTGTTTGCAAGGCAAGTATTTTATTTTATTATTATTTTTTTATTTTTTATTTTTTTTTAAGGCAAGTATTTTAACCCCTGTCCTACCCCTCCAGCCCCTAGCCATGATTTGTCTTTTGGGGGGATGGGGCCACACCCTGTGGCTGACTCCTGGCTCTGTGTTCAGGGATCACTCCTGGCACGGCTCCAGAGAGGATATGGGGTGACTGCGACTAGACCCGGCAGCACCTTCCCTGTTCACTATGCCTCTGGGCCAGTCCTAGCTAGCTATGCTTTTTCTGGTTTGGTATTTGGGGGACCATAGAGATGCTGGGGATCAAACCCAGGTAGGCTCCATGCAAGGCAGGTGCCCTTCCCATTCTACTATAGCTCCAGTCCCCCCTACTTACAGTTTAAAAAAATAAATTCACCTTCATGTTGGGAAGGAATTTTTCTTAAGTGCCTTACAAAAAAATCTGGGACTGGAGCGATAGCACAGCGGATAGGGCATTTGCCTTGCACGAGGCCAACCCGGGTTTGATTCCCAGCATCCCATATGGTCCCCCAAGCACCGCCAGGAGTAATTTCTGAGTGTAGAGCCAGGAGTAACCCCTGTGCATTGCTGGGTGTGGCCCAAAAAGACAAAAAAAAACTCCTTTTCAGTGCTGAGGGACTGCAGTGTCAGAGCAAGTACCTGCGAGTGTGGCTGCCTCATGCCCCCGATCTAGTGACAGGATCCATAACTGCATAAATGTTGGAGGCGGGGCGCAGGGCATGGGCCTGCTTACTCCACACTTCCACGCAGAGGCATGTGGCCGGGGGTCCCACCACCTCACTTGTGCTCCTCACTTGTGTCCCTGGTGACAATTACGTGTGCCTGACCCTGCGCTCATCTCTCTGCTATCTTTGGGGCTTTGAAGGGCAGAATGTGACATTCATGGGTCCAGGTGCTGGGGGCGGGGGTGTGTGACTCAACTGTGTGTAAGGTCCCGGGCTCCACCCGGCACCCCCAGCACTGCACAGCCCAGCACTGCACAGCCCCCCGGAACCAACGGGTAGACACATTGCTGGCTCTGAGTACTTTGGGGGGATCTTTGGCCCACCTGGCAGTCTTCAGGGACAGCTCTAGAGCAGACTTGGTGCTGGGGGGTCCCCTCCCGCAGTGCTCAGGAGCCCCTATGGCGCTGGGGCGGGAACCCAGGGCTCCCGCATGCTGTGCTCCAGCCTGCCCCAGGCTGAGCTCTGAGCTGTCTCATGGGTGCGCCCGGGGCGAGCAGCCCTGCAAGGCCCCTGAGCCCGTGATAGATGTGGATGCAGCCACTGGCAGATACCAAAGACCCGAGGCCTCAGCGCGGTTCCCTTCTCTTGTGGGTAACGGGCAGGGGTGTTGGGGAGGCTGTTCCTTATGATACCAGGCAGCTCTCCGTTCTCTGTGCCCCTTCCCCAGTGCTCCCTTCCCCGGAATGCCCATGCTCCTCACGGGACAGTTTCAGGCCTGAAGGGTGGGGAGCATGGCCGTTGGCTTTATTGCTGGGGGGACAGTCTCCCCAAAGCACACAGCTCACCCCAGAACAGCACAAGGAGGGGTCCCCCGGACAGGGGTGCCTGGACGCACAAGGCTCCCCTATCCCGCCGTTTGAGCAGAGAGTGGCCTGGCTCCCAGCTGGAGGCAGCATCCGCATTGCCTGTGACCCTAACCCAGGCCTGGCTGTGAAGGGGACCTGGTACAGTGGCCTTGGGGGATGGTCCTCAGCACCCAACTTCAGGGCTCCCGTGGGGCCGGAGTGATAGGACAGCGGGGAGGGCACTTACCTTGCATGCGGCTGACCCATGTTCGATCCCCAGCACCCCCTATGCGCTGCCAGGAGTAATTCCTGAATGCAGAGCCCAGAGTAACCCCTGACCATTGCCAGGTGTGGCCTCCAGCCCAAATCAAACTAACTTCAGGGTCCCCTCATGCCCGCCCCTTTCTCAGCATGGCAGCTTGCTGAGCTGGGGAGCTGCCCCGGCTTGCACACTAGAGCCACAGGGTTGGGGCTGCCTCCCTCCCCGGCGCCTTACCCTTTACCAGGATGTCCTTGGTGAGCTGGATGCCATAGTACTCGCAGGCCTTGCAGCACTGCAGGTAGACCAGGAAGTTTTCCCGGCGGAAGTGGTTGAGGAAGTCCTTCATCTCCCCGCCCATGGTGGACGGGAGGTTGCTGTCTCTGGTGTCACGGCCCAGGTGCTTTTTCCTCTGGGGGAACAGGAGGCAGAGGAGGTTCCTGCTTGTCCAGGAGCCGGGCAATGGGGGAAGTCATCATGTGATGCCCCGGGTTCGATCCCTGGCAAGGCACTGCGGACTCTGAGCACCACAGGCTGTGTGTCCTTCTCTGCATCAGGGCGGGTTCCTCTGGACCAGGGGTAGTGGGGGTGTCTCCTCTCTGCTTCCCACACATTGCCCAGGAGGGGGAGTGTCCTAGAAAGCCTAGGGGCTGCTGGGTAGGGAAACCAGTTGCTCCTGGTTCAGGTTACTGAGCACTGGCTGGTGAGCACCTACACGTGAATCCTGCCTTCTTGTGCAGGCTATGCATTTCTAGACTGGGATAAAGATGCCACCCGGCACCACACTGTGCTGATGGAAATGGGGAGAGAGGGGACCCCCGGTTTTCCAACACCCTCTCATTCCTCCACACACAGCAGCCCTGGAGCAGGCCACGGGCTCAGGAACCCCAGTGAGAAGGAAGGGTGGCACCGTGGGTGCGTGAGTGAGCCAGCCCAGGCCCTCCCCTGCACCCCCGGGTGGGTTTGGGGGTACCTTAGCCTTCTTCCTCCTCTCTCGGTACTGCTTGCTCACTTCCTCCCTCTCCTCCTGGCTCATGGGGAACGATTCTGGCTTGATGTCAACCGCGGGCACGGTCAGCCAGTCCATTACCATGGGGGAGGGCCCCTTGGAGACTTTCGCCTTCAAATTTTTCTGCCTGGCGGACCTGTAATCTGGGGCAAGACCAAGGTGATGGCTGAGGGGTGCGGGGCCGTGGACACTGAGAGGTGTCTCTTCTCCTCACTTCCCAGGAGCACCTGGGCCCCGATATCCTACTTCCTCCCATGAGCAAGCAGGACCTCTACCAAAAAAAAAAAAAGCGTCGGGCTGGAGAGATAGCACAGCGGGTAGGGCGTTTGCCTTACACACGGCTGACGCGGATTCGATTCCCATCATCCCATATGGTCCCCTGAGCACCGCCAGAGTAACTAACTCCTGAGTGCAGAGCCAGGAGTAACCCCTGTGCATCACCAGGTGTGACCCAAAAAGAAAAAAAAAAGCGTCAGGCCGGGAAGATGAACCAAAGGCAAAGGGTTTGCCAGTGGAAGTATCACAAGTCATCTCTGGTACACCATGGTTCCCCAACGCTTCCGGGGAAAGCCAGGACGCTCTCAGGATCTGCACGCCGCCCCCCAAGCCTCCTCCGCAGATCTCGTACCTGGGTCTTCTCACCGCCCTCGGTCCCCCAGTTCGCTCGGTCTCTCTGGCCCTACCGCATAACCACTGTAAAATACCCAGGTGAACTTTTCAGGAACCTCCAAACAGGTGCTCTCTCTGGCTGGAGAAGCAGAACTTTCCAGTCACAGTAGGATCCAGTGTGCTGGGACCTGAAGCTCGGCTCAGGCTTGCATTTGGGGCAGTTCCCAGCCTGGTCAGCGCGGGAGATCGGCTGGACTGAACCCCTTCGGAGAATCCGTCTTTCTTTCCTGTTTCTGCAGTACCAGAGGCTGAACCCAGATCCTCCACGCATGTGAGGCGTGCGTTCAACCCTGGTCACACCGGCAGGACAGGACAGGCTGCCTTCATCTTAGAGGGGACACAGTGGTACCTGGGTACCCAAAGAGAAATCTCCTGGGCCAGGAATGGCTCAAAGGGCTGGAGTGCTTCACATGTGGGAGCCCGGGGTTCCATCCCTGATACCGCATGGACTCTTAAGCACAATCAAGACCCCTGCAGAACACCTCTGGGAGTAACCTGAGAGAGAGTGAGAGAGATTAAGAGAGGCAGCACGAGAGAGAGAGAGAAAGAGAGGGGAGAGAGAGAGAGAGAGAAGGAGAGAGAGCGAGAGAATGAGAAAAGAGGGAGATATAGAGATGGAGGGAGGGAGAGAGAGAGGGATAGAAAGAAAGAGAGAAAGAGGGAGGGAGGGAGGGAAGGAGAGAGTGAGAGAGAACGAGGGGGAGGGATAGAGAGAGGGAGGTGGAGAGAGGGAGGAAGACAGAGAGGGAGAGAGAGGGAGGGAAGGAGAGAGAATGAGAGGGAGGGAGAGGGAGGGAGTGGGAGAGAAGAATAGAGAGAATGAGAGAGAGGGAGAGAGGGAGGGAAGGAGAGAATGAGAGAGAGGGAAAGATAGAGGGAGGGAGAGAGAGGGAGAGGGAGGGAAGGAGAGAGAATGAGAGTGAGGGAGAGAGAGGGAGGGAGTGGGAGGGAAGGATAGAGAGAATGAGAGAACGGGAGAGAGAGAGGGAGGGAGGGAGGGAAGGAGAGAGAGGGAGAAAAGGGTGGGAGAGACAGAGGGAGAGAGGAGGAAGGAGAGAGAGAGGGAGCGAGAGAATGAGAGAGAGAGAGAGAGAGAGAGTCTCCTCCTTTCTAGAGGGATGGGGCAGGCCGACACGCACACTCTCTCCAGGTGAGCAGGACGCTTTTCCGCTGGGACACGACCCACTGCTTGTGGCAGACCTCCAGGTTGTTCATGGTGATGGTGTTGTTCTTGTTCAGGGAGCTGAGGTAGATCACCACATCCTCCATCTCCTCCTGGTTCAGCGGGACTCCCACCTGGCAGGGGCGAGATGGCTCCAGCCAGCCACCCGCAGGCCCCCGGCACAGTTGGCCTGTCTGGCTCTTCTGCCCTGCTCGGCCATGCCAACTCACACCCGAGGCCCTTGCTGGCTCCCAAACACGCTCTGCACTTTCTCATCCTCTGTGTCCTTCCAAGCATGTCCCCTGCTGTGCCTGAAAAACTCCTATCTCATCTGCAAAGCCCACTGGGCTATGTCCTCATCTTGCCAGGACTGTTGCTGCTCCCTCTGGACTTCCGCCCTGCCTCCAGTCAATCTTAGTGGTAATTTTCCCAGAGAATTTCACTCTGGCCTTGCTGCCAGGGGACGCCTAAGAGCTCTGAGCTGCAGTAAGAGATAGTCGGAAATAGAATACAGAGGCCGGGGAGCAAGCTCAAGGGGCTAATGCCTAGATTTGGACGGGGGAGCCCTGGGACCACATGGTCCTTCTGCATCACTGGGAGCAACCCCTGAGCACTGCTGAGTATGACCTCCCAAGAAAATGTCAGCAGATAAAGAGAAGAGAGAGGAGTCAGGTGGGGGAGATGGCTTCACAAGCCATGAGGCTCATGACTGCATGCGAGGCCCCAGGTTTGATGTCTGGAGCACTGGAACAAACCGCAGCACTGCACAGAACAGCCTGATGGGCACGGGCCAAGGACTGCCAGCAGCTGTCCCCTGGGTCCTCTGAGCACTGCTGGGGAAGTGCCTCAATAAAGGAAAAAAAATAGTAGGGTTGAAATGATAGGACAGTAGGTAGGGCATTGCCTTGCATGCAGCTGACCCTTTTCTTCTTCCCTTCCCTCCCCTCTCTTCCCCCCTCCCCTCCCCTTCCTTCTCAGCCCTTCCCCTCCCTTCCCCAGGACTTACTACTGGCTCTGCACTCAGGAATCACTCCTGAGGGGATCCGGGGACTATATGGGATGCCAGGGATCAAACCTGAGTCAGTTTTGTGCAAAACCTTTTAAAACCCTTCATCATGGTCCATGGTCCTCCCGTTGTTCATCGATTTGCTCGAGCGGGCCCAGTAACGTCTCCATCATGAGACTTGTTGTTACTGTGTTTGGCATCTCGAATATGTCACGGGTAGCTTGCCAGGCTCTGCTGTGTGGGCGGGATACTCTCGGTAGCTTGCCGGGCTCTCCGAGAGGGATGGAGGAATCGAACCCGGCTTGGCCAGGACGGCGGCTTGTAAGGCAAACGCCCTACCGCTGTGCTATTGCTCCAGTCTTCATAAGGTTTTAAAACATTTTTTTGTTTTGTTTTGTTTTCTAGGCCACATCCAGCCATGCTCAAGGGTTACTCTGAGCTCTGTGGTTAGGGTCACTCCAGTACTCAGGGACCTTGTTCTGGGGATTAAACTGGGGTCAGTCACATGCAAGGCAAATGTCTTAACCCCTATATTCTCGTATTCTCCCTCTGGACCCCTATAGGTTTTTTTTTTTTTAAATAACTTGTTGGGAGCAGGATTGATGATACAGAGGACAGGGTACTTGTGTTGCATGCAGCTGACCTGAATTCGATCCCCAGCACTGCATATGGTCCCCCAAGCACCGCCAGGAGTGCTCCTGAGTGCAGAGATAGAAGCAAGCCCTGAGCACTTCCAGGTGTGTCCCCCCAAATACCCCTACAAATTAAAAATATATATTAAAAAGGTAACTTGTAGGGGCCAGAGAGATAGTACAGCGGCTGACCTGACCTGCAGCCAACCCAGGTTCAATCCCCATCACTCCATATAATCTCCAAGGCCCACCAGGCCTTCCTGAACACAGAGCAAGGAATAAGCCCTGAGATCATAGGATATGGCTCTAAAACAAATAAAAATTCAAGGCTCGGGGCTGGAGAGATAGCACAGTGGGTAGGGCGTTTGCCTTGCACGCAGCCAACCCGGGTTCGATCCCCAGCATCCCATAGGGTCCCCTGAGCACCGCCAGGAGTAATCCTGAGTGCAGAGCCAGGAGTAACTCCTGAGTGCAGAGCCAGGAGTAACTCCTGAGTGCAGAGCCAGGAGTAACTCCTGAGTGCAGAGCCAGGAGTAACCCCTGTGCATCGCCAGGTGTGACCCAAAAAGCAAAAAAAAAAAAAAAAAAAAAAAAAAATTCAAGGCTCTGTGATTCTTGTTTTCTTTAATTTTTTTTTCTTTTTTGGGTGGCACCCGACAATGCTCAGGCGGAGCTCTGCACTCAGGAATTGCTCAGGGGACCATATGGGATGCTGGAGATTGAACCTGGGTCGGCTGAATGCAAGACAAACACCCTCCCCGCTGTGCTATCACTCCAGCCCCTGTGATCCTCATTCTCTTTGTCACAAATGCTCAGCTCTATCCTAGGAGAAAGAAAACATTTACGAGAGAGCGAGATGAACTGTTCCAATAAAACTTTATTGACCAAACAAGAGGCAGCTGGAGATGACCCATGGGCTGGAGCTGATCCCCATGGCAATGTGCTCCCTGGGGTTGTCCCATGCAGGGACCACTGCGTCCTCAGGACACAGCTGGTGTGACAAAGAACTGGATTTTCCCATTTTATTTGTTTATAATGAACTTGACTGCTGTTTCCTGGTACTTGGGGAGTCACGCCTGCGGTGCTCAGGGCCTACTCCTGACTCCGGGGAGCCTTTCTTATGCAGGGTGCTGGGGAACAAACCCAGGGTTCCAGCACGCAAAGCAAGGGCTCAGCCTGTTGTGTTCTCACTCTGGACCTGATTGTAATTTGAATTTTTAAATGTATTTTCTTCCCTTTTTTGGGTGGTGGTGGTGGTGGGAGATTTGGGCCCTACCCAGTGGTGCTTGGAAATTGCTCCTGGCTCTGTGCTCAGGGGTCACTCTTAGCAGGGCTCACCGCACTTTCTTTTTTTTTTTTGCTTTTTGGGTCACATCCGGCGATGCTCAGGGGTTACTCCTGGCTCATGCACTCAGGAATCACTCCTGGCAGTGCTTGGGGGACCATATGGGATGCTGGGAATCGAACCTGTGTCGGCCATGTTGGCTGCATGCAAGGCAAACGCCCTACCTGCTGTGCTATCGCTCCAGCCCCTCACCGCACTTTCTGTGGTGCCAGGAACTGAGCCTGGGTTGACTGCATGCGAGGCAAGTGCCCGGCCTGCTGTCCTCTTTCTCTGCTCCCATTTCCACCAGCTCCCCCTTCCTTGCTGCAGTTATTGGGAGGATCAGGGGCTGCCCGTGCACCTGTTACAGCTTACAATTCTGAAATGCCCAAGTGTGGTCTGTGGCACAGACCCTGGGCATCACGGGAGGTCATCAGAACGCAGTGGCTCGGGCCATATCAGAGCATCTGAGTGAGACAGTGTCATTTAATTAATTAATTAATTATTTATTTGGGCTGGAGCAATAGCACAGCGGGTAGGGCGTTTGCCTTGCACACAGCCGACCCAGGTTTGATTCCTCCACCCCTCTTGGAGAGCCCGGCAAGCTACCGAGAGTATCTCACCTGCACAGCAAAGCCTGGCAAGCTACCCGTGACATATTCGATATGCCAACCACAGTAACAATAAGTCTCACAATGGAGACATTACTGGTGCCTGCTGGAGCAAATCGATGAACAATGGGAGGACAGTGCAGTGCAGATTTATTTATTTGGGGGGAGGCACACCTGGCAGTGCTCAGGGGTTCCTCCTGGCTCTGCACTCAGGAGTTACTCCTGGCGGCACTCAGGGGACCCTATGGGATTCCGGGGATGGAATCCAGCTTGGTTGCATGCCAGGCAAGCGTCCTCCCCAGTGTACTATCGCTCTGGCCCCAGAAAGTACATTTTTAACAAGACCTAGATGTGATGCAAAAGTGGATGACAGTGGGAGGGGCTCCAGAAGGTTCCAGAGACAGCGGGAAGAGGCTCCTCTCAGGGCTCAGTGCTTTGGGACTGGTGGACAGGATCGGCTGGGCGGTCTCTCCACAGACTATTCCCTCAGACACTCTTTCAGGCTCTTGGGGCTGTGTGTGTCTAGGTTTGGGGGGTTGGCGTGGACCTGGGAATACCAATCTACAGTCCAGATAGTACCGGGGCTAAGGCGCTCGCCTCACAGGTTCTAGACACCAATTCCACCTCTACGGGTTCCACATATGGGTTTGTTCCTGAGCACAGAATCAGGGCAAGGCCCAGAGCACAGCCAGGTACGGCCTGCCAGGTGTGGCCGCCTCCGCCACCTACCCCCCACTAAAAAGTCACATGGCTGTCTGAGCACTGGCATTGACTTTGTCTTCTCTCCCGGGGAGGAGAGTGGGATGAGGGGCTGGAGCAACAGCACAGTGGGGAGGGCGTTTGCCTTGCACGTGGCCGACCTGGGTTCGATTCCCAGCATCCCATATGGTCCCCTGAGCACTGCCAGGAGTAATTCCTGAGTGCAGAGCCAGGAGTAACCCCTGTGCATCTCCCCCTGCCCCCCCCAAAAAAAGAGACAGGGATGTTCCTCCCCGGAGGCCAGCTGGAGGGAGGGACACGTACCTCCCTGAGAGCCAGAATGAATTCCTCCCTGGAGATCTTCCAGCTACTGCGGAGTTCCTTCCCTCGGAAGATGTCCGGAAGCCTGAGCTTGTGGAAGTGCAGGAAGGAGAAGAGGTTGGGCAGCACGGGGGGCATGGGCAGCAGAAGTTGGGGCATGGCTCGGGGCCCGGGCCGCGGGGGTCTCTTCTGAAAGAGGCCAGAGAGGGATGCGGGAGAGTCAGGGGCCAGGCCCGCGGTGCGGGATCCTGGCGTTGGAGAGAACCAAGATGGGAGAGGCAGGCGACTCTCAGCAGACACCAGCAGGAGGACAGAGGGTGGCAGTAGCTCCTGGACTGTGCTCAGCAGGCCTGGGCCTCAGTTTCCCCCTTGGCAACAAGAGGGCTGCTCAGCATAAAAACTAACATTTCATTTCCTTTTTTATTTCGGACCTCCTACGTGGTGTTAAGGGGGCCGAGGGCCCTTCCCAGAGATTCTTGGACAACCAGGCTCATGACTTGGTGCTTGGGCCGAGGAGGTGGCGCTGTCCAGTCCTCATGGTGCTAGAAATGACCTGGGCCACTCTGGCAGTGCTCAGAGGACCAACCTTATGGTGCCAGGGATGGACATGGGGTCAGCTGAGGTTGAGGCGCCCCCTACTAGCTTCGGGCCTGATAGCTTTCCAGATCTCAGCCACTTTGGGCCAAGGGGTCTCTATAACCCCTGAGGCTCTGGGGGGGGGCAGGACAAAGCCCCCCGCTGAAAGCCTATGGAGGGGCTATGGCGTTTGCCTTGCAAATGGCTGATACGGGTTTGATTCCCAGCATCCCCTATGGTCCCCTGAGCACTGCCAGGAGCAATTCCTGAGTGTATGAGCCAGGAGTAACCCCTGTGCATCACCAGGTGTGACCCAAAAAGCAAAAAAAAAAAAAGCCCATGGGGGTCTCCACTCCCCCCACTTTGCTCTGCCAGGCCTCCTGCCCAGAAAACCTTTCCTTCTTGTTCCTGTGCAGATGGCCCTCCAGTCACAGTGGGGGCACTGCTCCCCCCCATCCTGAACTGCCCTGAGCCCCTTCGTGTCCTCAGTTGGCCAACGGCGCCACTCACCTTTTTTTTTTTTTTTTTTTGCTTTTTGGGTCATACCTGGCAATGCACAGGGGTTACTCCTGGCTCTGCGCTCAGGAATTACCCCTGGCGGTGCTCAGGGGACCATATGGGATGCTGGGAATCGAACCTGGGTTGGCTGCGTGCAAGGCCAACACCCTACTCGCTGTGCTATTGCTCCAGCCCCGGCCACTCACCTTTTGCACTGTGACTGCCTGGCGTCCCTTCAGCCACGTCTCTTGCTCCAGGTACATCCCATGTAAGACCTTGGCCTCCAGAGCCGTGATGTCATTCTTGTTCTGCAGCCACTTGTCGAGGTCACCGAAGGTCTCCAGGTCCTGCCGGAGCTGCATCCTCCGTCTCACCCAGGTACTCACATCCTCCGGCTGCTCCTGGGTGGCCTTCAAGATTTCCTCATAGCAGGAAATTGTCTCTGGGGGAGCAGGGGGCGGGGGTCTGGCAGGGACGCCCAGGGCATCCTCCTTTTGTGGTAAGACGAAGATGCGCCGGCGACTCTGGGGCAGTTGCGAGTCCTTCCGCTTGAACTGCTGGAAGCAATGGGCCAGGACCAGCTCGCGGTGAAAGGCAGGCTCCACACTGGCATCAGAGGAGTTACTGACTTGATTGGCATTACTCAGGTTCTTGTTCTGATCTTGGGGGAAGAGAATGAAAAGTTGAGTTTCTTTCAGGAAGAGGACTCAAGGGATCTATCTGGAAGGAAGGAAAAATGCTTCAGCCAGTGCTTTCCTTGCATGAGGCCGACCTGGGTTTGATTCCCAAACTGCATAGGGTCCCCAAGAGGCCCATCTAGGAGAGGTCCCTGAGCTCAGAGTCAGAAGTAAGCCCTTAACACTGTCAGATGTGGCCCCCTCACCAAAAACTAGAACCACCAACAGAAATGCTTTTGTCCCAGACTGGGCCTCAGGATACCTGGACACAGATGATAAAGATAAGGATAAAGACAGTTACAGCAGAGAGCTCCCAAAGGCAGGCTCCATGCTAAGGGCTTGATGAGTTTTTTCTTGGTTTAGAGTCTACACTATGCCTTCCTCCTAACTCTGACTCCCGCGCCCACAGTTTAATGGCAATCAGACCTGGATTGCTCGGAGCCCAGCATGTGGTGCCAGGGATCGAGCCCAGGCCATCTGCATGCACTTTGAATCAGCTCTTTGAGGGGAGAAGAGGTCCCACCACACGGGGCAGCACTCAGGGCTTACTCCCCAGCCACTCCACTTAGCAAGTTTCTTACTTGGGTTGTTCTTGCCGGACCCATTTGGGAGATTTTCCACTGATCTGTTTGGGCTTCACGTCTGAAAATCCAGCGCTGTGCCAAAGGCTTGACCCATCGCATGCTACTACACAACATTTGAAAACTGTTATTTTTCATGCTTCTCCTCCAGCACTGACCACGTGAATGTCCGTGAGAGAAATGGTGCGAGTTATGGGCCGGGACCCCTTTCCTGGGAGCCAGGGTTGTGCTCCTACTTCTAAACCACACCAACTCGTGGTACTCCTACAGCTCGGCTGAAGTGTGCGGGGCTCCGTGGGCTCGGATAGGCTCCCTGGCAACCTCCTCCGCCCACCTCCCCGTCCTGGCCCGCAGCCCCACACACACCTCTGTCCACGTCCAGCAGCGACTCGAACCGACGCCGGGTCATTCCTTGGACATATTCTTCCGTGGTCGCGGAGATGATGTGCTTGCTTGCACCGGAATACAGAGATCTCGAAGCACAGGGATGTCAACTTTTTATCCTAGACACACAACTCAGCGTGTTGCTAGGACTACGGACGCCCCACGCTGATTGGCTGAGCGCCGAAAGCATCGCGCTGATTGGCTGCACGCTGCTGGGTGTCTGTCGACTGGGAGCTGCTGGAGCGGAAGCTTCCTGGCTGGGAAGTTCCAGGCTGAGACAGGACGACTTAAAGGGGTCCTCGTGGCCCCTCCATCTGGAGCTAATCCAGCCTTGGTTTCCGCATAAACTGTAGGAACCCCTGCAATAATGCACGTCTCTCCAGCCTTGTTTTCACCCCTCCCCCCAAGGCCTTACGGCCACTGACGGGGTGTCAAGGTTTGAAATGAGCCTCTCTTCCCTACCCCTAGTGTCATTATTGATAGGTACTTAAAATGCCCAGCAATTTAGGGGTCAGAGACGTGGGTCAGTGGTAAAACTCATGTTTTATTGCATGCACGAGTCCTAGGTTCCAGCTGGTTGGATCACCGGCCTCCCCTGAACAATAGTGCTACAGTTTAACGATGTATAAACAAAATGTGGTCATTATCAATTCAGCGAAATATTGTTTCATCATAACAAAGGAGTGAATTGGGCCAGAGTGATAGTACAACGGGGAGGGCGCTTGCCTTGCTCGCATCCAAGCATCACCTGAACCCCACCAGGAGTAATTACTGAGTACAGAGCTGGGAGTAACCTCTGACTGAATATGTCTGGGTGTGCACCCACTCCCCTCCAAAAACGGAACGAATAATCACAGGCAGCACAATAGAGGAATCTTAAATATTATGCTGTTAAAAGCCAGCTACCAAAGGCCCCATAGTATATGATTCTATTTCTCCAGAATAAGCAAATCTGCAGGCTCTCAACTATTTCGTGGTCGCTAGAGGTGGGAGAGAGAAGGACATTGGGTTTGACTGCTCACAGGTTGGGGGGTTCTTTTTGGGGTGACACAGATGTTCTGGGATTAGGGGTGGAGGTCACACAGCATTGTAAAGGTACTAAGCCCACAGAATAACATGTTGTGGTGAAATGATGCCAACTATGTTCAGTGACTTTTGCCTTTGTTTAAAAATCCAGACACAAGTTCTTATTCTTTCAACGACTCCAGGTCCCTCAGACCTTCCTTGTGGGCCACAGGAATGCTGCCGGTGAGTTGGCACAGAGATTCTGTGACAAAGAGGTCAGGAAACAGGCACAGAGGTTTGCCTGGTCACCTCGCCACACCCAGCGCCCTAAGCTTGGTGATTTCTCCTTGCCTTTCAAACCCAACTGTGGCCAGACCCCCTCCTGCTTGAGACAGTCTTTAATCTTGACAAGGTAAAACTGCACAAACAATGCCAGTAACATTGATTAACCTAGGGGCTGGAACAATAGCACAGTGGATGTAACCCTTGTACATCACTGGGTGTGACCCAAAAAGCAAAAGCAAAAGCAAAAGCAAAAAAAAAAAAACCAAAAAACAAAAAAACCACTAACCAACCTAATTTTCTGATGCCAGATTACTAATCCTTAGCGGAAAGGGCAATTTCAAGGCTGGCTGGTGCTTTGCACAGGTTTCAAAGATCTATTACTTTTGATTTTCTTTTTTGGTTTTAGGGTGCTCAGAGTTCACTCTTGGCAGAGTTTGGAACACCATAAATGGTATGAGGGATTGAAAGTGAATTGGCTGCGTAAAAGGCAAGAGCCCTACTTACTGTACTCTTTCTGGCTCCATATAACAGTGGCTTACTACAATTTTCTTAGATAAAACTGTAAGTCTTGGGGCCAGAGACAGAGACAGTGGGTAAGAGATTTCTAGCAGGCGGCTGACCTGGGTTCGATCCCCAGAATCCCATATGGTACCTTGAGCACAATCAGGAGTGATTCCTGAGTGCAGAGCCAGGAATAACCTCTGAGCATCACTGGGTGTGGCCCCAAAAAACGAAATAAAAAACCCCCAAAACAAAAATAGAAATTTTCCATTTTCCCCTCAAGATTGACAGAAATTTGATACTGTTGATAGTTTAAATCACCTTCAAATTTTATTTTATTATTGACAAAGTTATTCACATTTTAAGGACTGCTTTCAAATAATTTATTTGAAGCAAAATGCAAACCATGTTCTAGCATAATCAGTAGTAAGGATGTGTCTGTGGCACTCAGTTAAGAAAACATAATTAGGGGCCAGAGAGATAGTACAGTGGGTAGGGTGTTTGCCTGGTATGTGACCAACTCAGGTTTGATCCCTGGCATTCTATACAGTCTCTCAAGTACCACCAGGAGTAATTCCTGAGTGCAAAGCCAGGAGTAACGCCCGAGCACCCGCCAGGTGTAGCCCAAAACAAAAAAGAAAAGAAAAGAAAAAGATGAAAACAATTAGGTTTTTAGTTGGATTGATTTGAATAAAATCTGTCTGCTTGGAAAGGGGGAATTCCTTCTTTACGGAGCTTTAAGAATCAAAGTGCAAAGCAACTGATTAAAAAAAGATATAAAACTTCAAAGTTTCAAGATAGACTTAATTTTTCATGATTTTCCCAAAGCCAGTCATGATATTTATTTAACTTGTGGTCCTGGGGGTGTACCTGGAAGAAATACAATATATTAGGAGTCAGTTATATGAATTAGTCAGAAACACATTTTTAAAATTCAACTTTTAATTTTAAAGTATTTTGGCCATACCCAACAGCGCTCAGGGGCTAATCCTGTAGTAAGGAGTGACCCCTGAGAGTGCCTGGGAAACGTATGTAGTACCAGAGATTGAATCAGGGCCAGTCACAGACCAACATATTACATCCTGTATTATCTCTCTAGCCCCTGAATCAACATGGCAAAGGTATGATGGGAGAATAGAAACTATAACCCTCAAACAAATGGGATTCGCAAATGATTAAAATTATACCTCTCACTAAAATAATCCTTTATCTTTACAAAGCACTTTCCAATTTAGAAGCCATCTTCCCCAGAACCCAGGTGTGAATGGTGCTAACTTGATCAAGAATGAATACTCCAGTGGAGTTCATGCACAATTCAATCAGCCTAATCAGTGACTGAATAAACAGCAGTACTCTTACATTAAAAAAGAAAAAAAAGAATGAATACTTCAGGAGCCTGAGTAATAATACAGCAGGGAGGGTGCTTGCCATGCACAGGGCCAACCCAGGTTCGACCCCTGGCATCCCATCCCATAAAGTCTTCCATGCAGTGTCAGGAGTACACATATGAGCATCGCTAATGTGACCCAAAAACGAAATCAAAAATAGAATGAACACTCTATTTCCTAAACGAGATTAGCGATCCTGAGGGTGCATGGGTCGCTGTCACAGCAAATGGTGGAGCAGAAGCGCTTGCTGGCTGTGTGTTAGGCTGAGGCCGACTCCGAGGGCGATCTACCAGGCCACCCTGGCAAGCCCGCTGGCTGTAGACTGCCACCCAGGTGCAGCCTGGGTGAGGCTGGGCACAGCTGATGCAGGACTCAGTGACCACAAACACTGTCTGAGACCTGAGGAGAAAGCCAGCACACCTCACCTCAAGCCGCAGCCTGAGATGGGAGGCGGGGACAGGTGAGCCTGGCCAATCTGAGGTCGCACCAAGGAGCCGTCGCAGACTTAGGAATTCTGCATCTCCCACCCTTGCCTATGTCTGACAACCTCATGCCAACTGCTCCCCTCAAACTTGGAACAGAATTGGTTGTGACTAGCGAAAAGCGTGTTAGCTGCATTGGGGGAGCTCGTCTGCCTCAGAATCAAGGGATCTATCTGGCTGGGAGCAGCTCTTACCTGCTTCCACTCGTTGACACAGAAAATCCGGTAGGAGTCGTTGCCGTATTTGCCGATCCCGTGGAGCTCGATTGGGTACCGCCACTGCTTTGTCAGATACTCATCTGTGAACAGAAGAGCGCAGGCACCATCAGGCCTGCCTCGAGGAAGGCTTTTCCCCTCGCTGTGTGTGATGCTGGGGCTGCCCAGGCAGAACAGCAGAAAGGCCTGGAAGACATCCTGGCTAACAGCATCAGAGGGAACCATTCTTTCTCTGCAATCCCAGCAGCCCTGGAGTAGGAACCCCTCAGGTCTCTTCCTGACCACCCTGAGTCTCTGCTGAGCTCCCCAGATGGAAGTCATGTCCTCCAGGTCAACTGGACTTTCAGCTTCATGGACTTATTTTTAAAAAAATTTTTTTTTGCTTTTTGGGTCATACCCAGTGATGCTCAGGGGTTCCCCCTGGCTCATGCTCTCGAGAATTACTCCTGGTGGTGCTGGGGGGGGGGGGGCGGGAACCATATGGGATGCCAGGGATTGAACCTGGGTCTGCCACGTGCAAGGCAAACGCCCTACCCGCCGTACTATCCTCCGGCTCCAGCTTCACGGATTTCTTCCTCTGACTCAGTCCACCCAGCTGGATCCAATGGTGGGAAAACATTTACTGCCTGACAGAGAGCAGCTAGGACATTTGCCTGGTGTATTGATCCCACATGGTCCCCCCAAGCATTGCCGGGAGTTTATACCTGAATCCAGAGCCAGGAATAAGCCCAGAGCCCTAACAGGTGTGGCCCCAAAGCAAAACAAAAAACCCCAAACAAATGAAAAAGATTTCTTGCCCGAGTCAGTGGGAGGCCATGGTTTGCGCACAGAGACTGTTTTTTATAAGTGGCTGTGGTGCCAAAGACCTTCATTAATGTGGCATCTGAGGCAGGAACATCGACTGTCTGGCTTTTTTAAACAGCTGCAGGTCCACTGTGTACATAGGAAAGTACCTGAGAACTTGATGATGGTCTTTGCTCGAAGGTCGTAGAGACCAAGAGGCCTTAGAAGTTCTGATACCTCTCTCCAGTCTGCGGCTCTTGCTACCTCAGCCGAAGGATACTTTTCCAGAAACTCCCAAAGCACAGGGATGGCCATTCTCCCTAGGAAGTAAAGGCAGCTCTGTGATGACAAACTCCCAGACACACTGATTTCAGATCCAAGCGATTTCCCAAGTTAGGAATCTCACAGTGAGCTTTTGGATGTTTTGCCATTTTATTTTATTTACTTATTTTTTAACTGTCACTGTCCTCCCATTGTTCATTGATTTGCTCAAGTGGGCCCAATAACGTCTCCATTGGAGACTTTGTTGTTACTGTGTTTGGCATATCGAGCACATCACGGGTAGCTTGCCAGGCTCTGCCGGGTGGGCGAGATACTCTCGGTAGCTTGCCGGGCTCTCCGAGAGGGGCAGAGGAATCGAACTCGGGTCGGCCATGTTGGCTGCGTGCAAGGCAAACGCCCTACCGCTGTGCTATTTTATTTTTTGCTTTTTGGGTCACACCCGGCGATGCTCAGGGGTTACTCCTGGCTTTGCACTCAGGAATCACTCCTGGCGGTGCTCGGGGGACCATATGGGATGCTGGGAATCGAACCCTGGGTTGGCCGTGTGCAAGGCAAACACCCTACCCGCTGTGCTATTGCTCCAGCCCTCTTTTGCCATTTTAAACCATGGTTGAGAAAGCCATTACCTCAACCAATGACTACTTTTAGAATGAAAAACAAAACAAAATGAAACAAAACACCAACATTATGGGCTGGAGAGGTACCACAGCGGGTTAGGTACTTGCTTTGCACATGGCCAGCCTGGGTTTGATCCTTACACCACATACGATCCCTGAGCCCCATCAGGAATGAACCCTAAATGCAGAGCCAGGAGTAAGCCCTGAGCCCAGTTGGGTGTGGCCCCCTAGACCCAAACCAAAATCCCAACACCATTAATCTGCTTGGGTAACAGTTCAAAAACTTGTGGACACCTGCGCTAAACAGGATCATCAGGGCTAAACAATCCCATTAACAGCCTAACGGCCCACAGAACACAGATGTCAACCCCTTTCAAGAAAGCACTCATGGAAAGAAATGCTTCAGTACAGAGGGTGGGAGAAATGTCCAGGAAACTGATTCCCTAATCTGCAGGTAGGGAGTAAGTGCAAGTCTGCTCGGAGCGCTAAGAGCCTGTGGGGGTCACCTCCTCTGGCTTTCTCTCCTTGGTGAAGCATCTGAGGGCTGACAAGAAGGCCTGACGAGGTCAGAGACATGCCCCGGGCCTTCTCCTCAGCCCCATGCTTCTTCCTCATCGCACTGTCTCTCCCAAGATGAAGACGGAGATGATTCACACACCTGCGGTCCGATTGAGAAATATCGTTGCGATGAGGAGCTTCCACGGGTCGTGAAAAAGCGTTTCTTGGACAAGGTTAAAAGGTGACCGAGGAGGCGTCCACTTCTTAAAAGCTTTGCGTCGAGGGGGACTAGGAGCTGAACAAACGCACACCGTCAGCGCTCAACCCAACACCAGGGACAGATTTCAAATTGAACTTTTTCTTTTGCTTTTTGGGCCACACCTGGCGATGTTCGGGGGTTACTCCTGGCTCTGTGCTCAGGAATTACTCACTACCCCTGGCGCTCCTCAGGGGAACATATGGGATGCTATATCATGAAGATATTCCCATGTCATTAACTTTTTTCTTTTCTTTTTTTAAAATTCCATGCCAGAGATCGAACCCAGGGATGCTAGGGAGCGAATTCAGGTCAGCAGTGTGCAAGGCAGGCGCCCTCCCAGCTGTACTATCACTCCAGCCCCCTCAAATCGGACTTTCTGGTTAGGGAAGGAATACCTTCTTTCGTATATTTGCTGGAAAAATACAGGCTTGTTTTCCTTCTTTCTACTTGTGTCCGGGGGGCGACGGTCTCTGGAAATAAAACAGTGAATACTGTTTAGAGAGTCAACAATACTGTTTAGAGTTCTGTCCAGAGGTTCCCAAACTCATCTGACTATTGCTCCTGTTCAAAAACAAAATCAGTTCCCCTCGAGAAGTCGACCTTCTTTAGCACTAATGGCTTCTGAGGCCAGTACTCTCCCCGCAATCATTCCAGTAGCCCTGGGCTGGGGGAATTTCATTCACTCTGAACAACACTGGTGTAGTGGAAAGAAATATTTAGGGGTGCAAATAACAACCACAATATTACTGTTATGAATAGCATCTGTCACTGTCACTGTTCTCCCATTGTTCATCAATTTGCTCGAGCGGGCCCAGTAACTTCTCCATTTTGAGACTTATTGTTACTGTGTTTGGCATATAGAATACATCACTATATAAATATTACTATAGCACAGTGGTAGGACGTTTGCCTTGCATGCCGGCAGGGCCGAACCGAGTTCGATTCCTCCTCTCCTCTTGGAGAGCCTGGCAAGCTACTGAGAGCATCTCGTCCACTGGCAAAGCCTGGCAAGCTACCCGTGATGTATTTGCTAGCACTGTCCTTTCTTTGTTCATCGATTTTCTTGAGCGGGCACCAGTTATGTCTCCATCGTGAGACTTGTTGTTACTGTCTGTGGCATATCAAATACGTCACGGGTAGCTTGCCAGGCTTTGCCATGCGGGCGAGATACTCTCGGTAGCTTGCCGGGCTCTCCCAGAGCCATGCAAGGCAAAAGCCCTACCCTCTGTTCTATCGCTCCAGCCCTGCGACCCCTCCTGAAATATAACTATATAAAGCATTAATATATGCCAAAATTATAATATATATTACCATATTAAAGCATTAATATATGCCATGTTGCAACAATTAATATATATTATATATTTCTATACACATATTATTTCAGTGTCAGGGATCAAATCCAGGTCTAATGTAGGCAAGATGCGCACTTAAGCATTGAGTCACATCAACCACTTTAATCCCATGAATGACCCTGAACTAGATACCTTTTACCTCCACTTTACAGGTATAGAAATTGCGGTTCAGAGAAGTCAGTAACTTGCCCAACATCACAGAGTAAGTGTCCGAGTTGAAATTCAAATGCAGGTCACCTGAGACCTGTCTTTCACCAGTTCACTTGTTCTTAAGGATACAGTTAGTGTCATAGAATTGAGAAACTGGGAAGACTATGAACTATAAACTATTTACTTTGGGGGTTGTTCTGGGCCTCATCCAGCTCTGCTCTGGGTTGACTCCTGGCTCTGTGCTTAGGGATCACTCCTGGCGGGGCTCAGGGGACGATATGTGGTATAGGGGATTGGATCCAGTTTGGCCACACGAGAGGCCAAGTGTCCTTCCCGCTGCACTATTGCTCCAGCCCCACTAGAAACCATTTCGAATGATGACATACCTGTACAATACAATCATGGTGGGGGGAGGGGAGGATTTGTTTGGGGGCCATTACATGGCAGTGCCTGGGGCAGGGGGTGGGAGGAAATTACACTGTGCTAGGGGAAACTGTGTAGCATCAGAGATTAAACTCCAAATGATCCCGGCTGGGCTCCACTGAGCTACCTCATAAGCAGCCATTAAAATGTACCAGAGCGGGGCTGGAGCAATAGCACAGCGGGTAGGGTGTTTGCCTTGCACATGGTCGACCCAGGTTCGATTCCCAGCATCCCATATGGTCCCCCCGAGCACTGCCAAGAGTGATTTCTGTGTATATGAACCAGGAGTAACTCCTGTGGATTGCTGGGTGTGACCCAAAAAAGCAAAAAAAAAAAAAAAAAAAAGTACCGGAGCATGGGGGGAGAGGGTGGTGGTGGGTGGCAGGAAGGATAAAGGGGATATTGGTGGTGGGAAATGTACACTGGTACAGGAATGGGTGTGGGTACATTGTATGACTGAAACCCAATAAGGAATGTTTTGTAACTGTAACTCATGGTGATACAATTAAAAAAAAATTTTTTTAAAAAAGTACTAAACACTATATCATGAAGATATTCCCATGTCGGGGCGTTCTGGTCCTTCCTTCACGCCCTACCGAGGTCACCAGTTGCCCCCCACGAGTGGCTCTCCGGCACAGCCACGGCCGCAGAAGCACAAGGACTTAACGCAGAAAACCAGCAGCTTGGAGCAGAAAAGTGAATGGACTATGTGTTAAACCGCGCCATCATGCCTGCCCGGAGGGGAAAGGGTGTTGCCCCACTCGCCCTCTCCTCTCTGGACAGAAAGATGGCGGCCGCCAGGGAGCCTCGTGGATAGCAGGTTTGAGCCGGGGGTGGGGGCGGCAGAGACCTCATGGGAAGGGGGGCGTTCCGGTCCGTCCTTCATGCCCGACCGAGGTCACCAGCTGCCCCCCACGAGCGGCTCTCCGGCACAGCCACGACTCCAGAGCACAGAAACCAATCTCTTAACTATCTAACTTTTAGTAGAAATACTTCCAGGGTTAATAAGTAAAATAGCAGAAATCCAAAACCGCGCGGCCGCAATTGCATCATTTAATTCTTAAACCCATCTGTAGAAAGCAAATCATTTCACAACGCTTTTTCAGCATGTCTAATTTTGGGGGGGGGGTCGTAAACTCTAAATAATAATGGTGCATCTTTTATCAAAACAATGAATCTAGTCAAAGTAGATAGAGTATTAACTAGAACTCATCTGCCTCACAGGAATTGGGAGGGGTGGGAGGTGGGGTTCTATTGGGGTTTGCGGTAAAAAATAAGTATTTGTAAAGGGAAATGTGTTTGATATTTACATGACTGAGACCTAAACCTGAAAGCTCTGTAACTTTTCCCACAGTGATTCAATAAATAAATAAATTATATAAAAAAAAGATATTCCCATGTCATTAACTTTTTTCTTTTTTTTTTAATTCCATGCCAGAGATCGAACCCAGGACCTCACACATATAGGGCAAGTGCTCTACCACTGACAGACATCCGACCCAATGTCACTCACTTTGAACCGGAAAGAGCAAAAAGTTCGCGTCTGAGAAATAAAATGTAACACACGTTATATAAGAATGTTCTATGGGTGACACTGATACTGACTTTCATGCAGAGGATTCTCTAAAAAAAGGGGGAAAAAAAGTTCACATCTGATCCCAAGTTAAGAGTAGAAAACAATACAACGATTACATTGAAATCAATGATCTAATGGTTGTTGAGTGGTCAATTTTATTTTCTTAAATTTTCTAGATTTTCCAAATTTTCTGCAGTGATGACTTTTAAAATCATGTTTAAATTTTTAAACATAAAAAAAAGAGGGTGGTGGTGGAGGAGATTGGGGGTGTTCGGTAAAAATAAAACATAACCTAAAGGAAAGCTAAGATCTGGATCTTGGGAAACCTGAAATGGCCTATTGGGAAGTTGTTGATTTATCAAAGGACCCTTTGATCAGATGTTCAGGCTTGGATCACAGGCTTCCTCTGCCATGCCCTCTAAACTGGAATGGCAGTTAGTGCTACTCACGCAGCAGGAAGCAATCTCTTTCCCTTCTCATTTGCTTAGGGGACCCAGGGCCTCAGACCTACACAGCACGTGCAGAACCACTGGGCTGCAACACCCTTCCTTACTTTATAAAATTTACTTTCCTCTTTTTTTTTTGAACCACACCTGGCGCTGGGCCACTCCTGCTAGTGCTCAGGGGACCCTGCAAAGCATGTGGTCGGTCCAGCCTCCGAGCTGCCTCGCCAGCCCTACAGTGTTCTTCCTGTGAAAGTAGGACTAGCGAAAGTCATCATTTCCATTTTACAAAGGGAGAAACTAAGGCTTAGGCACTAAACAACCATCCCGAAAGGAGAGCAGTATTGGGGTCAGGGAGACAGTACAGCGGGTAGGAAGCTTGTTTTGCACAAGGTTGATCTGGGTTCAATTTGTGGCACCACACAGGGTCCCCCAAGCCCCATCAGAAATGATCCCTGATGCTGGAGGGCAGAGCCAGGAGTAAGCCCTGATCGCTACCTGGGATGGTCCCCAAAGCAAAATAAATACATGAGTAGCGAGAACAAAGCAAACTGCTTTCATTAGCTACTTGATCATTTTCCTGTAGGTTCCTCCAAACAATTATTATTAGTAGACAAGCAAGGCTCGGTTTACTTGGCAATTCTAATTGTGCAATGGAAGTCTCCACTATTCCATCCGACATCTATCAACCTGACAGACTTCATCTGAGAACTAGACTATTTTATGTATAAGAATGGGATCCTCCCATTGTAGTTGCAAAAGGATGTCTTTAATATTTAATTTGCCTATTATCCTAGCCACGAATCTACATAAGCTTCAAATTTTAAGTAGCTCAAAGTCTTTAAAGGACACATTTGAAAAAAACTTTTTTTCAGGCTGGGATGTAGGGATGCACACTTGGCAATGTTCAGGGCGTTCTCCTGGCTATGCTGTCAGGAATTAATCCTAGCAGTGCTTGGGTACCATATGGGATGCCAGATACAGAACCTGGGTCGGCAGCAAACAATGCAAGCACTCTATCTGCTGTACATATCGCTCAGGTCCCTGAAAAACTCTTAACCTGCTCCTCGGCACCTATGGCCATCTTCTGCTAAAGGAAAAGACATTCCAGGCACAGCAAAGACATCAAATCATGCATGTTACTGAGTAAGAATCAAGTCTAGGGGCTGGAGAGACAGTACAGTGGGTAGGGCATTTGCTTTGCACACAGCAAACCTGGGTTCGATCCCCGGCATACCTGAGTGTATGGTCCCCTGAGAACTGCCAGGAGTGATTTCTGAGTGCAGAGCCAATAACAACCCCTGAGCACTGCAAGGTGTGGGCCCTCCCGCATAAAAAAGAAAAGAATCACGTCTAACCCATACTCCACTGATTGGTCCGGGCTGTCTCCACACAGAACTTAAGTAAAACGACTTTTCTTCTTTAAAGGAGTTATTCATTATACTATAATGGCATAATGAATAACTAATACAGAGCTGCTCAAAAGGCCTCCTTTTTATCTCTTATTCACCAAGGTATTATAAAAGCAAAACTGCTAAGCTATGAACTCTGTATTAAGAGCAAAACTGCAAATAATAGATGAACTATGTGATTACAGTTCTGCATTATTTAGTGCTCTAAAGCATTGTAGAGCATATTGCATTATGATAGCGAATGACTCTGATGGATACAAAAATACACTTGAAGTCACAGGCTGAGTGTGAAAGACACCATTATTTGGAGGGGGAGGGAGGCCACACCCAGCAGTGCTCAGGGACCACTGCTGGTGGGCTTTGAGGACCCTGTGGGGTCCCAGGGATCACACCCAGGTCAGCTGTGTGCAAGGCAAGTGCCCTACCCATGGACTATGGCTTCAGCCCCAGAAGACACCAACTTTGATCCATGTACTGGGTTAAAGGAGGCTTCCCCAAACCTTCTCACACATAAAGCCTTTTCATTTCCCAATGTCTTAACTGGTGGAAAGATGTGAAGGAGGAAAGCACTGCTAGGGACAGTCTTGCTGCTGCACCAGGAGAATGATGGATTGTAAATGGCACAGCTCAACGTGGGAATTAAGGCGGTGACTAGTGGGTCCCTCTCTGCCGTAAGAAAGGGGCTGGAGGTCACTGAGGATCATCAGCTGGATCCCATATTTAACCCTATTTCCTTTTTTTTGTTGTTGTTGTTGGTTGGTTTTGGGCCACCCCCCGCAGTGCTCAGGGCTTACTCCTGGCTCTGCACTCAGGGGTCACTCCTGGTTGGCTTTGGGGACCATATGGGGTGTTGGGTATTGAACCCACGTGCAAGGCAAATGCCTTTCCCGCTGTGCTATTGCCCCTGACCCTATTCTTTCTATCCTCACATCATAATGGGGTACAGGCACATAATTCTTCTCCACCAGTCTGACCTCCGTATCACCTGTTTAACAGTACTTTCACACACAGAGTACCTGGAACTGTTTCCACAGGCGACTCTGTCTCCGTTGGTGAGCAACCGTTGTCCATTTCAAAGCCGCGGCTGAAACCGTCCATATGCAAATGCTCCTTCCTGCCCTCAGCTTCTACTTCTGTTCTTTCTTTTGATTCTAAAAAGGTATCCTCACACTTCTCAGTGCCTTCTGCTTCTTTGGTTGCAGCTAAATTGTTTATAATGCCAGATGTTATTAGCCCTGCTTGCAAATTTGATCCTGCACCCTGCAAGGTTGCTTTCTTAAGTCTCTGTTCCGTGCTGGTCACTGAGACGGCTGGTTTGTTGGCTGGGGCATCAGAAACGCAGGAAGTTTTATTCGGTTGACTGTCATGGCCAACAGGCCCACTTTGAGCCTCAGCTTCACTCTCTCCAGATGCTCTTTCTCCGTTACTTTGAGCAAAATCTGGAAGACTCTTCCTGCATCGCGTTTTCGTTTTCTTGATATCAACTGCGTTGCAAATAGTCTTCTTTCTTTCGGCCTGTCGAACCTTTCTGGAAACCGCCCCAGGTCCATCCTCCTTTTCTCTTAAGAGCAAATGAGTGGAAGTACAGTGGGACAGTTCTTGGCTCTCCTGCAGTTCCAAACTACCACTTGGCTGAGCAGACTCATCTTTTTTCCTTCGGTTTCGTGTTCTAAGGCTCCAGGTTGAATTGATCCTATTGTTTGCCAGCTGGGGTGTCAGAACTTCCTGGCAGTCTTCACATCTGGGCTGGCGGCTCTTTTTGGCAAGGACGGTAAAATCAAAATCTTCTGGTTTAAGAGAGGTCTCTTCGGTTTTGAGAAGATAATTAGTAAGTGATCTTTTGGATCTGAACTTCAGTCCCTGTGGGCTAGAAAACGATGTTAAAGAGAACTTATTGCTAGGAGAGTAACTTTTTAAAAAGAATCACCACATTTCAGATGGTCAGCTAATATTTGCCACAAGCTGCCATGGTCATTGCCATTTAAAATAAAAATTTATGATAAAATAGCAATTTAAAAATAGAGTCCGCTCTGATACTACAGAATACTTTCTCAAAAAAACAAAAGACAAAAAAACCTAAGTGCAACCATGGTATTAACCATTCTCAGTAGCAGCAATGTATGTACTCACCCACTTACCCTCAAATCACTTGTTATAACTAACGAGTGACAATGAAGTGACATAAAATCAATGACTCCATTATGATTTTATGGTAAAAACAGAAAAAAGATCAAAATGCCTCTTCTACTTTCCAGCTATCCAACTATCCTACCCCCTTTTTCTTGTGAAACAAGAGTTGTTATTTAACAAAACTTGCTTAGAAAGATGTGAGGAGAGAGGAAGAGAGAGAATACATGTTTAAGAGAGAACACGGCTGGGCTGGAAAGGTTGTACAGTGGGTAGGGCCCTTGCCTTGCACATGGCCAGCCAGGTTTGATCCCTGGCATTCCACAGCGTCTCCTGAGCCAATCAGAAGTGATTCCTGAGTGCAGAGCCAGGAGTAAGCCTTGAGTACCATTAGGTCTGGCCCGAAACTGGAGAAGGAGGGGGTGGGTGGAAGGCGGGGAGAGAGAGAAAGAGAGAGAGACAGAGACAGAGACAGAGAGAAAGACAGACAGAAACAAGTAGTGAGTCCAGGGAGAAGCAAGCCCCAACTGGCTTCTGAGAGAAGTCCTCATCATCATTTTTAGACAGAAATGATCTGGTATTTGTGCTCACCTGATGAAATATACTTCATATCGTCCCGCTGTTTTCCCAGATAACCTCTGCTTCACCACCCTTTCCCACCCACACGGGACAGGCTTAAGGGGCTCTGTTCCTGTAGTTCCGCCAAGCGGGCCAGTAGCAGGATTGACTGGTGCCTGCTGCAGGGGTACGCACTCTCCTGCTTCTCTGCCCTCTGATCCCACAGCGACATCTTCCTCACTGCAAACACAAATTACAAGAAATTTGTTCATTTAAAGTTTCTTTATGTAAATGAGCTTACTCGGGGTGGGGGGGGTGAAAGATGGGAGAGAGGGGCTGTGGCCCAAGGGAAAAAAAGGGGGGGGGAGTGAGAAATGAAATGAAAAAAAAAAAAATAAATAAAATTAAATTTTTTTCTCTGTTTATTCCATTTCAGTCTGGGACAGAGCAGGAAAGGCTTAGACTATTCTAAAGGGGAGAATAAGATCAGTGTGGACTCATTTTGTGGGTCCTACTTATATAGTAATAGCATTTATAAAAAAAAAATCCTGTTTCTTTGAGATTTTGCTTCTGGCTTTCTAAAAATTTCCTTCCCCCAAAAAGGGCTGGGATCTTGGCACAATGAAAAGCTCAAGGTATCTGCAACATTCACTGTTAATCACTGCATGGGACTATTTTAAAGATTTTTGTTAACACTGGGCATCTGTTCAAGATCAGGAATGAGCCAACAGTTTAGTCTTAAGCCTGGGATCAACAGAACTCAAAGGAATCAGTGAAACAACTTCCTCCTCCTCAAATAAGGGGTAAAAATTTTATATGTAAGTACATTTTTTTTTTCTGGGGGAGAGTATCTGTCACTTTTATCATGAATAGTAAACCTCTAAAGGTAAATCGTTTCTGATTCAGATTTCTCAGATCTCCTTCATTCCTGATCTTCAGGATAACCATGTGAAGTAGAAGGTGAGAAAGGTGTATCCTCATTTTACTGATAAAATTGAGTGAAAGAAAGATTAAGTTACTTGCAGCTAGATTTCTCCAGACTGATCTACTTTTGAAAAACCTCATGAGCATAGTTTAACTACTTGTCAAACAGTTTAGAAGTTCGCTGGGTCTATAGAGGCGCCTGATCCATTTCTTTGGGGTTTTGCTTCTTCAGGAACACGAAGCAGTGGCTAGTCACTAGATTTGGAGGATCTGGGTGGGTCTTAAGAAATCATGCAGCTGAAAGTTTTGGAATTAAGGAAAAAGAAACCTGGTTAAAACAAACAAAAAATATTGCACAAATGTTGGAAGTTCACAGACTGGGTTGAAATGCCAGCGCTAGCTGGCTCTGCTGAGCTGTGCTGCCAAAAGAAAATAAAACTCTCAAAGCCTCATCTTGCCATCTGTTGGGGGAAAAAAAGAGGGGGGTATACCTCTTTTAAGGCAGTTCTCTGGATTACAGTTTTGGGGGGAGGGAAGTAAATTATCTTAGTCCCATCTCGCTTATGTAACACAAGCATTCAACAAATGACATTTTGGGGGCTCCCCTGGCTGCTCAATTACGGTATCTCTTCTACGGTAACCCGAGGACCTTCCAACGCAAGTGGACTTCTCTTTGCACTCCAGAATCTCGCTGATCCTTCCAGCTGCCTGGCACACCAGGGAAGGAAGTGGGGAGCACCCCGGGGCTGAACCCCTAGGACGTCGACAGTGTAAGTCAGAAAGGCTCACTCCCACTGTACTAGGTGGTAAAACTGGGGCCCGAAAGGGAATATAACTTGCCGGAGGTCACACGGCTGCTCCGGGGCTCGGCGATCACTGGAGGAGGAGGCAGAGGGGGCAGCTTCGCGGTGCCCCACGCCGGGGGTCTCCATCCCAACCGCGCCGGGAAGCGGGATCCGGCGGCAGCAGGCGCCGCGGGGGTGTGGCACCCAGAACGTGGAGAGGAGTAAGAGGAGAGAAAAGAAAATATCATAACATGACCTCACAACGTCAGGCTGAAACCCAAGTTGCAAGAACGGGAAGTCCAGTTCTCCAGCAGCCTGACGCCCCCCCCCCCCCCCCCCCCCGCCACCTCGGGACTCAGCCCGCCTTTTCGACAGTTCAGCCAATCAAATGTCCGCCCTAGGAAGACGCCCCGCCCCACCATCGCGTTTCGACCAATCGCGCGCGCTCTCCGTGCGCAGCCTCTCGGCGCTCGGCGCCTCGGTTTGAGCACACGCGCAGTGGGAACGGCCGGACGCGCGCGTCTCACTGCGCATGTGCGTTGCCCCGGGTAGCGCAGGTAGCCCAAGCGGCGCGGCGAGTGGGCCGGTGCCCGACCGGGAGGAGGGGCCGGCGGCGTGAGGGGACGCGCCATGAGGGCCGTGTTGACGTGGAGAGATAAAGCCGAGCAGTGGTGAGGAGCCGGGCCGCCGGGGAGGAGCGGGGGGCCGACGCCGGGCGGGATAGCGGCGGGTTGCCAGGGGCAACGGGCCTGAGGCCTGGGCTGGAGCCGCTGACCGCTCGCGGCCCGGCCACTCGCCTGAGGAAAGACCGTTTGCCTGAGGAAAGACCGTTTGCCTGAGGAAAGACCGTTTGCCTGTGGAAACTGAGGCCCGGGGAGGGAGGGGGGCAGAGGGAGGGGGGCCGAGGGGCCTGAGGTAGTGCGCGGAGGTGATCGGCCTCTGCGCGCTTCCACACCATAAACCACGCCCCCTTTCCCGAGGGCCTTGTCGTCTTCTTTTTTTCTTTCTTTTTTTCGGGTTTTGGGGCCACACCCGGCGATGCTCCTGGCTCTGCCCTCGGGGATCCCGCCTGGCGGATCGCGGGTCCCGGGGATCGAACCCTCCAGGTGCGAGGCCAACGCTCTCCCCGCTGTCGCATCCTGGACGCGGTCTCCTCTCCTCTGGCTTCCGCGCCAGTGTGACTTTACCCAGGGAGACCCCTCTCTGTCGCTTGCTGTCCGCCAGGCAGCTGACAGTGAGGCTGGAAATACCTGACGGGGAGGAACCCGATGGATGAAGTTAGTGAATTGCCGCCAGGGTGTCTCAGGACGCGCGGCAAGACGAGCCGCAAAATCTAGTATCTGCGGGGCTCACGACCTGGACTGGAAAGGCCAGTTTGATGATGTTTCGCAGTTTGTGATTCCGAAAGTCCCGTTTCATCTTTTTTTCCTTTGTGTTTTTGGGTCGCACCCACACCCAGGGGTGTTCAGGGCTTACTCCTGGCTCAGTGCTGGGAGATCACTTCCTGCAGTGATTGGGGGGGGGGCATGAGTTGGCCCCAGGATCGAACCTCATGCAAGGTGAGTGCCTTAGCCCAGTGTACTGTCCCTGTGGTCCTCGGTTTACTATCTCTGACAGGTCCTCAATGTGAGGCTGCTATAGGAGGAGAGGGAAGTTTGGAGCGGAAAGTTGGAATAGGAGCTTGTTGTTTCCACCCCCTGCCTCAGTCTGGTATTGCTTTACCTCCAGGAATGGTGCACCTCAAGAAATCTATCACACAGTGATGCACTTTGGGAAATACTGATGGAGTGGAATGAATGTTCTCTGCCTGGCTTAAACGGTCTCTTCAGTTTTGTTTGTGTGGCTGGGTTAGGATAGTTGTTCTAGCTCTTTTTCCTTAGGTATTTCAACATCGATATTTTCCCCTCAAATCTTGTGTTGAAATCCCAAATGTCCTTTAAGGCTGTCATCAAAGATGCTTGCTGTCTCTTGTAGTCTGCAAGAGTAATAACTAAAAGTATGTGCTGGCACTGGCTTAGAGCTTTTTACCTTTTCTCTCATTGCAACCCCACAGCATTCCTGATGACCTCTTTTATATGCAAGGGAATTGAACCACAGAGAGGGTAAATAATTTGCCCTGGTTACACAGTGTGTAAGTGGTGGAGCCAGTGCTCTTAACCTCTACATTTTCTCCATGTTACAGAGGCTGCAGGGCTGGAGTGATAGCACAGCGGGGAGGGCGTTTGCCTTGCACACGGCTGACCCGGGTTCGATTTCTCCATCCCTCTCAGAGAGCCCCGCAAGCTACCGAGAGTATGTCATCTGCACGGCAGAGCCTGGCAAGCTCCCCGTGGAGTATTCGATATGCCAAAAGCAGTAACAACAAATCTCACAATTTGTTGTGAGAAGTTACTGGTGCCCGCTTGAGCAAATCGATGAACAATGGGAGGACAGTGCTACAGCACTACAGAGGCTGCAAACTCGAATGCCACATAATGGATATATGGGAAATGTTTATTTGCATTTTATTTATTTTTTATTCATACAATTTATGGGTTTTGGGCTACACCATTTATTTTCCTTTTGGGGGTCATACCCAGTGATGCACAGGGGTTCCTCCTGGCTCTGCACTCAGAATTATCGCTGCCGGTGCTCGGGGGACCATACGGGATGCTGGGAATTGAACCCGGGTCGGCTGCATGCAAGGCAAACACCCTACCTGCTGCGCTATAGCACAGCGGTAGGGCATTTGCCTTGCACGCAGCCAACATGACCGACCCGAGTTCGATTCTTCCACCCCTCTCGGAGAGCCCGGCAAGCTACCGAGAGTATTCTGCCCGCACGGCAAAGCCTGGCAAGCTACCCGTGACGTATTCAATATGCCAAACACAGTAACAACAAGTCTCACAATGAGATATTACTGGGCCCGCTCGAGCAAATTGATGAACAGCGGGAGGACCGTGACCGTGACCGGGCTATACCATCAGTGTTCAAGTCTTACTTCCGACTCTGTGCTCAGGGATCACTTCTGGCAGTGTCAGGGGACCATATAGGATACTGGGAATTGAGCCCAGGTCAGCTGGGGACAAGATAAGTGCCCTACCCACCATACTATCTCTCCAATTCTATTTGCATCTTAAACACAAGCAATTTTCCATTCTACATAACAGTTTTATCAAACACATCTCTACCAGGGCGGTGTCTTTTACTTATACTTCCCTCATGTTCCCTCTGGGAATCCCCAGAGAACTGTCTCTATTACCTTGGCTTATGATGTGATACCAAGGTTTGTGCTCATGGTCCTAAGCTTGTTGAGCTTTAAGTCTCCAAACTATCTTCTGCCCCCCTTTTCTTCTACTTTTAAGATAAATTTAGACAAAAAGTTTTTTTTTTTTTTTAAGCCCTAACTCTTAAAGTCTTTTAAATCCCCACAGCACAAGGTCCTGATACAACTGCCAACTGCTTGTTGGTTGTCAGTGTCAGAGTCACAGAGTGGTGATGAGCCCGGCCAGTTGCAGCGCTCATGTGCTTCCTCTAAGGGGCAGCTGCTGCTCACTTCCTGCCAATTACACCCATGTCAAAATTTGGCCTAGCATGCTCAGATCTTCCTACTTTCACCAGAAGCTAGGAATCTGGATTTTTATGAGAAGTGTCCTAATTTCAGAATGTTGGCACCTAATCTAAAAAAACAAAATCAAACACCATGTGGGCCAAACCAAACATTTGCTGGCCAAATACAGTCTGATTAGTATCCAGTTTTTAACCCATGGCATAGAATTTTGCTCATTCCTCTCTTGTGCTGCTTGAATCTGTCTAATGTCTGAGTTATTTGTGAATCTGTTTATTCTGCAGGCTTTCAACCCCTGGAAAATTTTATTTATTACTCCTTGATTATTCCAGCGCTTAATAAAATCAGAGGTTGTCATGACCTATTTGTGATTCATGAATTAATGAATAAGTGAATGAATGATGAATAAAGATTGGTTTTTTTGGTTATGGATATATTTTGGTTTGACATAGCCTATTAGAATAGGGACTGGACTGGAGAAATAGTGCAAGAGTTAAGGAATTTGTCTTACATTTGGTTCAATCCCAGGCACTGCATATTGTTCCACAAGCACTGCCAGGATCCTGAATCCTGAGCTAGAAGTAAGCCTTGAACATTATTGGCGAGGTCCAAAAAACAAATTAAAAAAGTAAATAAATACAATAAGAACCATAGGAGTTCTCTAAACGTGAGCTGTTAAACTTTTTTTGCTTGCAATTCATTTTCACTTGATAATTTTGATTTGTTTTGTTTTTGGACCATAAGTGGGAGTACTCAGGAATTAATTACTCCTGATGGGGCTCAGGGTACCATATGTGTGCTGGGGATTGAACTCAGGCTGGCCACGTGCAAGGTAAGTGTCCTACTCATTATGATATTTCCTCTGTCCTTATCTTCAAACATTTTTTTCAGGGTGTTTTCCCAAGTGGTACTTAGAGAGCTAAGGCACCACTCCTGTCAATACTACGCTAACAGAGCTGGCAGTTTGATGCTAGGACCAAAGAATATAGTGCTCCTTGGGCCTTGTATTTCTAGGACCTGCCAAGGCTACCCTGGAGGTGGTTGGTGACTTCTAGGACCACACCTGGCACACCTGATGATGCTTTGGGGGCCTCCTAGTGTGCTTGTGAGGCCACGTGGTTGGTATCGAACTACTGTACTATTTCCTAACCCCAAAACAATATTTTAAGATTTTGTTTTTGTGCCGGGCTGGAGCAATAGCACAGTGTTAGGACGTTTGCCTTGCACCCGGCGTTTGCCTGCCGACCCAGGTTCGATTTCTCTGCCCCACTTGGAGAGCCTGGCAAGCTACCGAGAGTATCTTGCCTACATGGCAAAGCATGGCATGTTCCCTGTGGCATAGTTAATATGCCAAAAACAGTAACAATAAGTCTCACCATGGAGACATTACTGGGCCTGCTCGAGCAAATTGATGAACAATGGGAGGACAGTGCTGCAATGTTTTTGTCCCTCCCTCCTACCCCTCCACATTCAATTCCATAATCTCTTTTTTTTCTGCTTTTTTGGGTCACACCCAGCAATGCTCAGGGCCAATTACAGGGTTACTCCTGGCTCTGCACTCAGGAATTACCACTGGCGGTGCTGGGGGGACCATATAGGATGCTGGGGATTGAGCCCAGGTCAGCCGCATGCAACGCAAAGGCCCTACCCACTGTACTATTGCTCCAGCCCCTCAATCCCATAATCTCTTATGGAGTTGCCACCCATAGTTTAACAAGCTAGGCAGCTAGTCTAGACCATCAATCCTGATGGTAAGCTAAGGTTGCCTGCCTGCCTGCCTGTCTGCCTTCCTTCCTTCCTTCCTTCCTTCCTTCCTTCCTTCCTTCCTTCCTTTTCTCAGGGCTTATTCCTGGCTTTGTGCTCAGGGACCATTCCTGGCAGGGCTCCGAGGACCATATGGGGTGCTGGGAATCAATAGTTACTGAAAAACAGAACTGATAAAGTTTGATGTCCAAAAAATAGTCTTTTACCACTTGAACCTGCCTGTCCCCAGTTGCCCTTTTACATCCACTGTAACCCTCACCTAGCAGTAGAAAGCTCTCGAGTCCTGCTGTTGTGATCATATGCTATTCTGCTTCTTATAAACCTAGGTGTCTCCTAATTCCCACCCATATCAAATTGTGC